TAGTCATGACATCCTATGTCCCAAGCACTGTAACATACATTAGATACTGTGGATAGAAAGATGATGAAGAAATAATCCTGGTCTAAAGATGTTCACAGTATAGTAAGTGAAACAAAGATGAGTGATCAGCTCAAGAATCCCAAGCACAAGCATAAAAGCCTTCTATTTTGTGCACTTGGTACTTTTAAAAACTTCAGTGCCTCTAGATATCAGCCTCCCTAGGCATTAGAACTTTCATTCTCCATATTGAAATTTAGTCTTACTCATTTAAAACAATCTCATATTTAGTTCATAAATATACTACCCTCCAGAGCAAGCTAGATCTGTGCCCCAACTCTACACACATCTCTCTCTCTCTCTCTCTCTCTCTCTCTCTCACATGCCCCTTCTTCTGATGGTGGGGTTAGGAAGCTCAAAAGAAAAACAGGTAGGGGCCGGGGATATACCTCAGTGACACAGCACCTGCGTGGCAAGCACGAGGCTGTGAGTTTGATTCTCAGTACAAAAAAAAAAAACAAAAAAAAAAAAAACAAAAAAAAACCCCAACAGATAATACCTTTTAGTGCCTGACCATGGTGAGGTTGCCATCTCCTTTCTGTGGGTCTTTGTGGTTAATAGAGCTCATTGTTTATTTTTTTCAGTTTTCATTTTTTACTAGTACTTGTTTCTAACACATAATGACTACATTCTTTATGGGGAGTCAGGACTTGTACATGACACATCTTAACTCTTAAAAATTTCTTCCCATTCCTTCTCCACTTCCCTTCATGTTTAATCTCCTTCTCATGTGAGAAAGATCAATCTCCCTATTTGTTATTATCTATCCTTTATTTTCCATTTGTTTATATTTTTAAGTTTCTCATATAAGCAAAGCCATGTGATATTTAACCTTGTGTGTTTGATTTATTTCGCTTAAGGTGCATCCATTTTCCTACAAGTGACACAAATTTATCTTTCTTTATGGCAGAGTAGTGCTCCACTGTGTATAAATAGCCCATTTTCTTTATTCATCTGTTGATGGACATATAGGACACTTTAAAGATTTAGCTATTATGAATTGTGCTGCTATAAACATGAATATCAATGTATCACTGTAATATGATGTCTCTAACTCTCAGGAAAATACCTAGAAGGAGAATATCTGGGTCAGATGGAATTTCTAGTTTTAGATTTTAGTGGAATCTCCATACTGATTTTCATAGTGGGTTTACTAGTTTACATTTCTACCAACAATGTGGAAGGGTTCCTTTCCCCTTGAAGCCTTGCCAACATTTGTTAATATTTGATTTCTTGATGACAGCTATTCTGTCTGGGGTAAGGTAAAATCTCAGTGTTATTTTAATTTGCATTCCTTTAATAGTCAGTGCTGTTTAACATTCTTCATGTATTTATTGGCCTGAGGCCAGGGATACAGCTCAGAGGCATAAGAGCCTTCCTGGCTAGCCAAGGTTCTGAGTTCAATTCCTGGTACGCAAAAAAAAAAAAAAAAAAGCTGAAAACTTCATGTATTTATTGGCCATCTGTGCTTCCTCTGAGAAGTGTCTATTCATTTCACTTGCCCATCTTTTGATTGGGTCTTTAATTCTGGGGAGTCTAATTTTTTTGAGTTCTTTATATATTCTAGGTATTAGTCCTCTGCCTGAGGAATAACAGGCAAAATTGTTTCCCATTCTGTAGATTGTCTTTTTAATTTGTTAGTTGTCTATGCTCTGTGGAAGCTTTTTAATTTGATATGAATTCATTTTGCTTATTCTTGGTACTATTTCCTGTGCCACTGGTGTTTTGTTCAGAAAGTCCTTGCCTACATCTATGATTTCAAGAGTCTTATCTATTTTATGTTACATCATGTTGTGTCTTTATTTTCACATTTAGATCCTTCATCAGTTTTGATTTTAGTTTAGTACATGCTGAGAGATATGGGTTTGGACTTAACCTTCTACCTGTGATTAGCCAGTTTTCCCAGCATCATTTATTAAACAGACTATCTTTCCTCTAGCATATATTTTTAGCACTTTTGTCAAAGATCAGGTAGCTGAATGTGCCTGGAGTTATTTCTGCATCCTCTATTTTTTCCATTGATCATTGTCTGTTTTTGTGTCAATACCATGCTGCTTTTACTCACAGTAGCTTTGTAATATATTGTCAGGTCCAGGATTGTGATGTCTCCTGCTTTGCTCTTGTTACTCAGGATTGCTTTCGCTATTCTAGGTCTCTTCTGGTTTCACATGAAGTTTAGGATTGTTTTCGCCAGTCTGTGAAGTATGCTGTTGGTATTTTGATTGGGATTACATCATATATATATATATATATATATATATATATTGCAGAATATTGTATACCATTTCGACAATGTTGGTTCCCAGGGACAGTAGATATCTTTCCATCTTCAATTTCATTTTCTGGGTACTGTAGTTTTCATTGTGGAGGTCTTTCATTTCCTTAGTGAAGGTCTTTCATTTCCTTACTGAAGTTAATTTCTAAGTATCTAATTTTCTTGGTGTTGTTGTAAAGGGTATTTTTTCCTAATTTCTTTCTCAGTAAGTTCTTTATTGGTGTACAGGAATGCTATTGATTTTTGTGTTGATTTTGTATTGTGCTACCTTGCTGAATTTGGTTATTAATTCTAGGAGTCTTTGGGTGAAATTTTTGAGTCTTCTGTGTAGAGGATCATGTCATCTGCAAATAATAATTTGACTTCTTCCTTTCCTATACCTATCACTTGTGATAGTTAACTGATTGTGTCAATTTGAGTAAGAAATGCCAAATTAAATTGGCTCAGCATAGTTTGGGGTGTGGCTGAGGGGATTTACTGAGGACAGAAGACCCATCCTAGGGTGACTTGTTGCTTGAGTTGTATAAAAGGGAAGCAAGGAAGGCTTGCTTCTGCTTCATAGGAGATCCACTCTTCGCCTTCACCTCAGATGTCATCTCCTGGCTTCCATCACTGACCCTTTGGCCTCCTGATATGGACTTGTGCGGGACAGTACACTGAGCTTCAATCCTTTGATTGGATCCTTTGGCTCTTCAGCATGCAGACCTTTCACACTCTTCCATGTATGAGTCTGTGGGTGGCCACTGTAAGCCAATCTTGTAATATATTTGTGTATCTTGCATTGTCTGTCTCTCTAGTAAGCACTGACTGATACATCCTTTTTATTTATTTTTCTTTCCTGATTGCTCTTGCTAATATTTTAAGTACTATGTGGAAGAGGAGTGCCAACAGTGGACATCCTTACCTTGTTCCTGATTTTAGAGGGAAAGTTTAGTTTTGCCACATTTAGTTGATGTTGGTTGCAAATTTAGTTGATGTTAGCTGCAAATTTGTCACAAATGGCTTTGGATATTACCAGATTGAAATAAAGTTCCTCTATATCTATCTTCTTCAGTGTTCTTTTTTAAAAATCACTAATGGATGCTGGATTTTGTCAAAGGCTTTTTATGTGTCTACCAACATAAAATCATCATGTGATTTTTGTCCTGTTTATATGATGTATTATATTTATTGATTTGCAGATGCTGATCTTTTTTTTTTTTTTTTTTTTGTGGTTTTTCTCCGGTACCAGGAACCGAACTCACGACCTTGCGCTTGCCAGGCAGGCGCTTTTGCCGCTGAGCTAAATCCCCAGCCCCGATGCTGAACTATCTTGCATCCTTGGGATGAATCCTACTTGGTCATGATGTACGATCTTTTTGATCATTTACTGTATTCCATTTGTCATTATCTTGTTGAAGATTTTTGCATTTATGCTCAGTAAATTTATGCTCAGTAAATTTATGCTCAGCCCTTTGGGTTTTTTATTTTGGTTTTTTTTTTTTTTTTTGGTTGGCTTCTTGTTTGCTTTTGGAATCAGGGTAATGTAGCTTCTAGGAATGACTTGGGGAACACTCTTTCCCTTTCAATTTTTAAAGAGCTTCAGGAGTAATGGTATTGGTTCTTCATTGAAGTTCTTATAGAATTCAGTGGTAAATTCATCTGGGTTTTTCCTTTTTGGTAGTTTTTAAAAATTACTTCTTCAATTATCAGAAGTTTTCTGTCTTCTTGCTTCAGTTTTGGTAATTCATATGAATCTAGGAATATATTCCTGTCTTCTGAATTCTCCAATTTATTGGTATACAGATTTGCAAAGGAGTTGCTATTATCTTCTGAATTTTGGCAGTGTTCATTATGACTTCATTTTCTTCATTTTTAATTGCATTGATTTGGGTCTTTCCTTTTGTTGGTTTTTGTTTGTTTTTTAGGTAAGGTTGGCTAAGGGTATGTTTATTTTGTTTATTCTTTTGAAAAATCAGCTCTTTAATTCATTGATTTTTTGTATTTTTTTTTTTTTTTAGTCTCAATTTCATTTATTTCTGCTCTGATCTTCATAATTTCCTTCCTTGTACTGGCTTTGGAATTAAGACTGTTGTTGTTCTTACCATGCAAGAATTAGGTTATTTATTTGGACTTACTCTTTTTTTTTTTTAGCGTGGGCATTTATTTCCCTTGTAGGACTGCTTTTATTGTGTCCCATAAGTTCTGGAACGCTGTACTGACATTATCATTTAATTCTAGGAACTATCTTTTTTCTTAATTTCTTCAGTAACTCACAGATTGATCAAGAGTGTATGGTTCAATTTACATATATTTGCATATTTTCTGCGGTATCTTTTGCCATTGATTTCTAGTTTCATCATGCTATGATTGTCTAGGTCACTGTTAATAAGGATCCCAACAGCCTCACTGAGTTCAAATGCAACCTCAAGCGTCCCTTACACTTTACAGCTCTTGTGAGACTTGCACCTTGCCAGCTTACTCCAGCTGGTAAGGGTGAACCACTAGATTCTTTTGATATATACATACCTCTTGGGTATGTTTCATAGCAAGACTATAGGCTTCCATCTACTTTTTTCTCTGTGATCCTAATTTTGAGCTCTGTAGGATCAGATTATGTGCATAATCTATGTAACCCAGGAATTCTGCGTAGTCCCATCTTTCCCCAGTGCTCAAAAACCCCTCCAAATTCACGGTGCAGGAGCAGACCAACAAGTTTAATGGTTAAACAAACATCTGAGTGTAGAATGGAGAATCTTCTTTTCTTGAAGACACCCCAAACTTGAAGACACCATGTAACAGATAAAACTTTCCTAAAAAGATGAGAAAAGATATTAACATTAAAAAAATTAATAATTTAACATTAAGCACTACTTTTCATCAAGACTATCCAGAGGAAGAAAATGTATTTCTAACCCGTATGTCCAACAGTTCATAAAAATAAATATGAAAAATACATAAAAGAGAGGTAAGCAAGAATCTTGAATAGGATATGAGGAGGTCATCTAAATGTCATTTGCATATTTTTGAAAAAGCATCCAGTTCCATTTATTGTCAAAGAGGTGCAAATTAAAAATCATAATGCCCTACGACTCCATATTTATTATAATGATCAAAATAAAAAATATATCAAATGGTGATGCAGTTGTTTTTTGTTTTTTTGTTTGTTTGTCTTTGTTGTCTTTTTGAGACAGGGTCTCACTGTACAGTTCAGGCTGGCCTTGAGCTCACTTTGTTGCCCAGGGTGGCCTCAATCTCACAAAGATCCTCCTGTCTCAGCCTCCTAAGTGCTGGGATTACAGGTGTGTGCCAACACGCCCGGCACTGATGCAGCTGTGAACAAACAAAACTTTCAAGCACTGTTGCTGGAAGTGTGTATTGGTACAAGCTCTTTGGAAAATTGTCAGTAACTCCTAAAGCTGGAAGTTGCATACCCTGTAATTTCAGTCCCAGGGAATCTATTCATCAGAAATACATACATATGTCCAATATAATTTATTTATATTAATAAATACAGATAGTCTCCAAATGGAAAGCACCCAAATGTTTGTCAACAATAAAATGTATAAATTGTGGGATGTTCACAAAGTGGAATTCTATTTAGCAACAAGAACACAACCAATGTAGATGAATCCCACAAATGCAGTGTTGGGATAAAGAAGCAACCAAAAGAGTACATAGCATGTAATCATAGACATAAGTTTTCCAAACAGGCAAAATTAATCTATATTACTAGAAGCAGGATTAAAGGAACATTTTCTGGTAGGAAAGAGTAACTAAAAAGAGGTGGCTTCAAGGAAACTGTCAATGCTCGGTACTGGTTTCATAGTTTTGTTCACTAGTGGAAGTTCTAGAGTTGTGACCTTAAGAGTTTGTCTACTGTGTATATCTCAACAAAAAAATCACATCTTAAAGAATTTCTCTTGATATCTTCACCTGGGGCTCTGGGGAGGGTACTGACTTTATAAATGCTTCCCTCTCTAAAATTACCAGGTCTCCATATTCCATCCCAAGCTTGTTTCTCTCAAGGATAAATGTTATCTAACAGTTCTGTTTCTCTTGCTTCCAGGAGTATTTAATAACTCCATTTCCCCAACAGTAATAAATGTTATTCACTAACCCAATCTTGTTCACTAACCTCTGAAGAAAGGAAGTGTGTGTGTGTGTGTGTGTGTGTGTGTGTGTGTGTGTTTTAGGGAAAAAAACATACACATACACGTGTATGTAATGTTCACCTTACTTGGTGAATTGCAGGAGAAGGTATTATAAATGTGCCCCCAATGTCTCATGTGTTTGGAAGATGACTGGATCATAAGGCACTACACTCATCAGTGGAGACATCATTGATGTCATCAGTGGATTCATCAGTGATGAGTTCAGTAGCTGAATATGCTGTTAGGAGGCAGGGCCTGGCTAGAGTGGGTTACTGGGAGGGTAGCCTGGAAAAATATATTCTCTGTAGCTCCTCTACTTCATGGTTGTTATGTGTCAAACAGCTTTCTTCCACGATGGCCTTTCACCATGCCATTTCTCTCTTGAATTTAGCCAGCTGTAGACTGAAATTGTGAGCCAAAATAAACCACTTTTCCTTTAAACTGTGGGTGTCTTTGGTGGGAAAGTGAGTAAAACAGATATTGGAAGGACGTGCCTGCAAAGTTGGGGGCATGGAAAATAGGGTTGCTGAAAAGATTAGCATTAAAAAGCTGTTATGGTTTGTGTCTAGATGTCCCTCCCAAAGCCTCATGTGGTCATAGGACTTTTTCAGAGGCTGAATCTAGAGTGTGATTGACTTTTAGTGCAGTGCTGGGATTAAGGGTGAGTGATTGCTGGATCAATCCACTGATTGGATTTGTACTACCCTAATCCCGGCAGACTGGCTACAGTAGAAGGGACAGAAAGAGGCTTGTCTCTCTCTCTCCCTCTCTTGTTGCTTTTGCTATCTTCTGCTGCCATGAACTGTTGCCCCTCTGTCATATGCCACCCTGCCTTGGAGCCAGATGATTATGGAATGAAATCTCTACAAACTGTGAGCTAAGTAAATTTTCCCCTTTAATTTTGGGCATCAGGTATTTTATCTCAGGAACAAGAGAAAAGTAAGACAGAAGCCAAGTACTTTGCCCCTGAACAATAGGAAAGATGGTTTGAAGGCATCTCAGAAATCACCAAGCATCACCCTTCCATAGGCTCAAGGGTACAAAACTGTAAAGCTTTCACTTGAGAAGAGAGCTCCTGGGACCCCTGCTCAAAAAGGCTGCCCAGGGAATTGGTTCTTTGGGATTTGTTTCATAGCGCCTAACCATCCAGTCACTACAGGTCTCTTCCATGTGTGTTTCAAGGGAGCCTGGCTACTGCTCAAGCTGGCAGAGGACCCTGACATCATCCATGTGGTGCTGGTTTCACAGTGTCTTGGTTACTTTTTTCTCATTGCTGGGACAAACATACCTGACACCCAAAATTAAGGAAGAAAATGTTTATTTTGCTTACAGTTTGTGGAGGTTTCAGTCCATACTTGGCAGGTTACAAGGCAGAGTGGCACATGGCAGAGGGCTATAGCTCATGGCGGCAGAACACAGCAAAAGCAACACGCACACAGCAGGGAGGAATGGCGGCAAGAAGCCTCTCCCTCTCCCTTATATATGCAAACTATCCACCCCAGGGTAGATGTAGATCTCACACCCATAATCAATCAAACTCTAAAAGCCTGCCCCATGACTGCATGAGGCTTTGGGGGGACACTCAGACACAAACCATAACACACAGGCATGCAGAATGCAAAAGTTATGGAGTCACTGAAGCTTCCACCCAGATTGCAGACCTGGGAGGTCAAGCAGTGTGCTCCTGAGAAGGTATTGCATGAAGCCGTGAGAGTGAAGCCAAAAGTGGAGACCCCAGGAAGTTGGAGATTTTAGGAATGTGGACCATCTGCTGAAGAAAGCTACAGGCAGTTAGTGAAACCAGCTCAAGCAAGGTTATGAGGGCTGCAACCAGCAGTACTGTAGGGGCAGTGCCACCCAACCCCTTTGGAGTTCACATCTTGGCACAACCTGCTGGACATGGAGCTATAGGATTTAATGTTTCACCTCCTGGATTTCAGTCTTGATTTGGTCCAATTCCTTTCTAACTCCCTATTTCTCCTTTTTGGAATGGGAATGTTTGTCCTACGCCATTGTGTGTTGGAAGTATTTCACCATGTTGTTTCTGCCTTGTTGCCAGCCAACCATGGACTGAAACTGAGAGCCAGAATAAACTTTTCTTCCTTTAATTTGTAGGTGTCAAATATTTTGTTCCAGGAATGAAAAAGTGGCTAAGACAATTGGAATAGCTTAGAAAAGTTGATTAAGAAAACGAGAGCCCAGGAATATGGTCATTGTTAGAAAATCATCCTCCCTTTATTTCTTGGATGAAAATGGCAGAGTAAAACTTAGTGGTAGTGGTGTATCACATAGCTATTTTACATAATAACCATGACCAAGAAAATCCTCAAGCAACTTCCTAGACTAATATTTGGGTGAAAACACTTAAGAATAACCTACCTCTTGTCTTTGCTTTCTTTCAGAACACTCATTCAAACATATACAGAGGGCTGGGGATTTAGCTCAGCGGCAAAGCACCTGCTTGGCAAGCGCAAGGTCGTGAGTTCGGTTCCTGATACCAGAGAAAAAACAACAACAACAAAAAAAAAGACAAACATATACAGAGATTTGGAGTCAGAGGCTCTGTGTCTGATTCCATGTTCTGTCACATTTTGCTGAAGGAAATGGGGACAAAAATCTTCAACTTTCCTGAAAAATTGAGGTGAAGATTAGTAACCTGGTGTGAAACCATAACAAAGCCATGTTTAACTTCTTTTGCTTATTCACAAATTCACTTGTATATGTAAAACATGTGCAGAACCACTTCTGACTATGCTTGTATAGCATAGTGAAAATCTTGCGCATGGCCAGATGATTCTCTTTTTCAACATGTTTAATCCATTTTTTAAAAAAGTGTTTAGGTGGACAAGTTCCATCCTTCCGATTCTACAAGCAAAAAGAATGTGACAACAAATATGTGTTCACATTTTTTAAAATTAAATTATTTTTAGTTGTGTTACTGTGGGTGGGGATTGAATCTAGGGCATTCGTATTGAACTATATCCCTAGCTATTTTAAAATTTATTTTGTGACAGAATCTTGCTAAATTTTCCCAGGCGAGGCTCATATTTTCAGTCTTTCTGCCTCAGGTTATGGGTGTATATTTCCATGCTTGTTTTGTGTTCATAAACTTGTGTTCTTGGAAGCCTTAGGACAGAGCCACTTGCTTTATTTTGTAGTGGGTTATCTAAGTCAGTTTTCCAGATAACCTGCCAACTTTAATGCTCAGAATCACCATTTTTGCAAAGCTATAGATAGGATGAAATCAAGGATAGCTGGCTCAATTTTATATGACCTTTTTTTAGGTATCTTTTTTTTTTTTTTTTTTGGTACTGGGAATTGAATTCATGACCACATACTTGCCAGGCAGGTGCTGTGCCACTGAGCTATATCCCCAGCCCCACCTGGCTCAATTTCAGAAGTTTCCAAAAGTATTAGAATTTCAGCATTAATGGAAAACTTCGCAGGATTTATGGTATATGGGATTCATCAAATGACACTTCACCTCTCTCCTACTTTTATTTCCATCTACCTGATCTCATATTTCCTATATTTAGGAATCTATTTGTATCACAAATTCTAGTGAAACCCAAACAATCTAAAGTCATGTTGATCTCACATAAAATCATGTAAAAAATGTGGAGAAAGGTTCACTCCTCACCCACATTCCAGAAAAGTGAGAGCCACATTGCCATTCAAGTCTTTTGAAATAGTTTTTTTTTTTTCTCCAAAGGACAGTACCCACCAACTTAGAAAGTAAACAATGATACATAAGACCAAGATCTTTGTGTTTTAGTTTTTCCATCTAGAATTTAAAATGTTATGAATGACACAATGTTCACAGAGGGCCATGCAATCAGTAAATAATCAATATTACTACTCCTATCTCTACATGACATTATCTATGTTTATCTCTAAATTTCTGTCTCTTCCAATAGAAAAAAGCTCTATGACCTCTGCAACACTGAAATCTTATCTTTCTAGTACATAGACAGCTGCCGACTATGTCTCAAGGGAGCATAAAAGTAAACTCTCCCTTAGTAAGAATGAGATTTCTCTCAAGAATCCAGTCAAAGAAAATTCACCTAGTCAATTCCAAATTGACATTACTTAATTTTTAGCACTTCAGGAAAATTTGAAGACTATTTGCCAAGACAAATATATGATAATGTGCAGATGTAAACAAGACAACCACAATACTATTTAAATCCAAGTCTGTTGAGCCTCTGTTATGTGATACATATTGTGGAGAGTTAAATAAGGTAACATAACATTTTGTTCTTTAAACTTCTTTGGAAAATCAAGGCTACTGGAAGTTTTGAAAAATTAAGTGTCTAAATCAAGTTACACCTCAACTATCCCAAGAAAAAGAAGGGTAGGAATTACTATGCACCAGCATTATGCTCTACACATCATGTGACTATTATTAAAATTAAAAATCTTGCACAAAATGTATCTGAAAAAAATGTTTCTTACTACAAAAGATACATAGTTCTCTAGGATAAGAAATTAGAAAGATAGTTGAAACCAGAACTACTTTAAGACTACAAAACATTAGGTTAGTTTTGTTTAGAAATAATTGCTCCTAAAGATTAACAGATAATACATACATTTACTAGAATACTGAGTTAAGCTTTTACATGTTGTATCATAAAGTTAATTTGTTAAATCTGCTTATCATTTTTGTGATAATTTATTCACTCATCTGATTATACTTATCCCAATATAAAAGACTTGATTCTCTTAAAATTAGAAATGTACTGCCTGGCCTTATGGCACACACCTGTAATTTCAGCACTCGGGAGGCTGAGGCTGGAGGATCACTGCAAGTTCGAGGCCAGCCCGAGCTACATAGTGAGTTCAAGGCCGGCCTGAAACATGTAGCAAGACCCTGTCTCAAAAACAAAACCAAACTCCAGAAGCATATTAATTTCAACTTGAAACAGTTATTTTGTAGTAACAAAGTTAAACAACTTTAAAATCACCATTCACTGCATTCAATTAATTCATTTGTGTTAGGCATTGTTTTAGCCTGTTGGATACAGCAATGTAAAAACAGCTTCCAAAATCATCATGCTTATTTTCTACTATGGGAGACAAACAAAAAAAGGTACATAGATACTTTCAAATAACAGTAAGCGTTTTGAAAAGAAGTACACAAAGCAACGAGGTAAGTAATGACCATCCAATTATAGTTAACGTAATCAGAAAAGGCCTATTTTGAGTGAGCAGAGACCTGAAAGAGCTTGTCACCTTGCAGTGAACATTGTTCCGGTTTCTTTGTCCTTGGGACCAGACTATTTCGAAATCACTACACCTTCGTTTACCCCTAACGTAACAGGTACATTAAAACATTTCTAATTTTTATGTATTACAAACAAGAATCTGAGGTCCAGAATTGCAATCAGGAGATTTCGAAGGGTGTCCCTGCGTCCATGGTACTGGCTTCACTATGGTATTAAAAGGAGAACGAGGTACCGCGGGGTTGGAGAGTTCTGACCACTTGTTAGCCTCGACTTGAGGTTATCTCGTGGCAAACCGATTTAGAACACTGGGTTCTTCCCACCCTTCTTCCCATTTCCAATACGGTAGCCCACGCGTTGTAGAAAAACGAAAGGCGTAGGCGCAGGGCCTCCAGCTCGTTTCTCCCAGGAACTTACTGGCGGTTAAGATCCAATTTCCAATTTCCCGGAAAGAGCAAAACTACAGGTATGAAAACTCAGGACAGAGACCAAGATACGTGAGATCCCTCACGCTCCGATGCCACGCCCTCCGACGAACGCGGGGTTGGCTCAGGAAGACGCGAGATTCGCGCATGTCGTTTACGTCACTTCCGCTACTCCCAGGGAGGGCGTCGCTAAATGATATTGCAATTTCCGGGTCGCTGAAGCCGCCCCTGGCGGGGCAGACGTCAGTATTTGCTTGTGTTCAGTCTATGGAGTCATTTGGTGCCGGCGGCGACGCGGAGGCAGGTGCCGGTGTCCAAGTGGGGGCCTCTGCCCCGCAAGGATGTTGCCGGGCTTGGCCGCCGCCACTGCGGCCCACAGATGTAGCTGGTCTTTTCTGTGCCGGCTTCGTTTGAGCTGCAGGGTAGCGGCCCGCGGCTCCAGCGACCGCCAGGGTGAGTGTCCTACGCCGGCCGCTGGTTCCGCGGAAGCTCCGCGCCGTTCCTGGGCATCCCTTCCCCAACCCCACAGTCTTCCTTTATGGTCTCCGCTTTTAAGGTCAGCCCACCCAACTCTCAAGGGTCCTAACTAGCGTGTCTGATCTTGGCCTTGCCTGCGGCTCTAGCACAGCACCCCCGGGAATTTGTGGGCAGCTGGAGGGCGGGGTCCCCCTGAAGCCGACCACTTTGTTCCAGACGAAGCGTTGTGTGAGCTTGAGCGTTGTGTCCGTGATAGTCCTCCCGACAGTTGGAAATGGCGGATTCCGCAGTTTCAGGGTATTGTGAGCTCCCTGACTCGCCTTCATTTAGCACTTTTCACTGAGACGTTCTTTCAGTTTTCGTACTCCGAACTTGTTTTCTTAAATTTCCCGAAAGAAAACTGGGAATTATCACACAACTGAAGGATTTTTCCTAAGAAGTTGAGGGCATCTCACAGTCATTGAATGAACCCAATTTTGGACCGAAAAACAGTTAAGTTCCACTGAACAATACCTGATGAAAAAATATCTACTAGAGCTGTAAACCAGAAAAGAGGTGGTTGATGAGACTTTGATCCCTCTTAAAATACTCTTTTCTGACTCAAGTTTAAATTGTTCGAGAGGTCCCCAAATAACGTTGAGCCTATACATTATAATCAGTTTAACCTACGTCTTTGCTGTACCTTGACACGTTTACCAAGAATGGATAGAAACCTTGAAGGAGAAAACACAGTCCACCTTTAATCTAATCCCCCAGCTTTTTGAGAATGCAGAATATTTACAGAAACATACCTTCAAAATTCATGATTGAAAAACTTATAGCATGTTTTTGACCTTCCTATAGAAGTTGGAAATTTCAGTTATTCAAAGTTTTAAGTAACTGTAGTGACTTATCTGTGCAAATAAATCATAGCATTTTGTATGTTTTATTTACAATAAATTTAAAAGCTGGTTCTTAACATTTCAAATGAATTTATTTTAACATCACTGTTCTTGGGGCTTTTGGGTAGTGATAGAAAAGTGTAATTGTCGAATTTGCCCGTATCGGCAGTACCTGTTCTCTTGTGAATAGAATGAGCCACCTACTTATCTATTGTACTCCAAAATACCCAAGTACAGTTTTTAATATAATTGCTTCTGTGAACCAAGCAATTTTGGCATTTTACACTGAAAGTACATATAGTATCTGTTAAATTTAAACTGTCCTTTAAACATGGGTAAAAGGAGTTGAAGGTGTAATTTGTAATCCCTCTTCTCCATAGCCATCATTATGTCAAAATTATATGCTTTTTGTCTTGCTTTTTTGAAATACAGGTAATAATTACCTGTCTTACCAGTCAGAATGACATTGCAAAGTTATTTCGAATGTTTAAAGAAATTAAAATGTGTTTTCAGGTTTAGAAACACTTACTGGATTAGAAAAAGAATTTTGTGGAAATTTCATTCAAGAGTACTGAAACATGTTTTTGAAAGGCAACCATGATTTTGGTAAAATGTGAAAACTAAAGAAAGAGTACTACTTGAACTGAATGCACGTGAAAAGAAAAGAATTATTGGCAAAAAAAAAAATCCAAAAACAGTTTTCTTTTTAAAAAAGTAAAATTTTGTTTTTTGCTGCTGAAATGTTTGTGTGGCTAGGAAAGGCTTTTAAGGGATACATTTGCATTAGTCGAATACTTAAAAAATGAGAAACACCTTTAAGTGCAAGAAAAAACTGGGAGGCTGAGGCAGGAGGATTGCAAATTTGAGCCAGCCTGGGAAATTTAAAGACTTAGTGAGACGCCTTCTATAGGGTAGAGTAGGATAAACTAAGCTGAAAAGTAGGTCAGTGTGAAGGCTCTGAGTTCAATCCCTAGCACTGAACAAAAAGGAAAATAGTATTCAACAACAGTTAAATAAAAAATAAATAAATAAATAAAGGGTGATACCCAGGTTCAATTCCCAGTACTGGGAGAAAAAAAAGTAGATTAAATTAACTTGAATGCTTTACCCAATATATTAAAAATATTTCAACATACATTTTAAAAATTATTGAGCTATAGTGCCTTCCCTTTTTGTATTAAGCCTACAAAGTCCAAAATCCAGTGTGTATTTTACACTTACAGCACATCTCAGTTTGGACTAACCACACTTCAGGTGCTCAATATATAGTGACGATTGAACAGTGTAGGTATAGATTTAGTATCCCTGATTTGTAATGAAGCTTCACAGACCAGTGTACATTCTAGTAGGAAAATGACAAGGAAATGAAAAAGGAGTACATAAAGAAGTTTCAGTGGCCAATAACAATGCAAACTGTACTCACTAAAGAGTGTGGGCATACAAATTTGAAGGATTTTATTACTATCTATCTTGTATTGACTAAGATTTCATAATTATGATACTGTGTTGAAGCTACAGGAAAACAGGAACTCTCTTACTACTGATTGGGAACATAGTGGTATGTTCAACAGTATTTTGAGAAGTTATTGTTTGTAAAAAAAGAACTTTAAAAGTTTATGGCCTCTGATCTAACAATTCTCCAAAGGATTTACTTCATAAATAATCAGATACATGTTAAAATTGTACATGAGTTCATTTATATAGTAATAATTTGGTAGTTAGTTACAGTTAACAGTTAGAAACTATTAGTGATTTATTAGGGTTTGTAATATATGCAGCCTTTGTTTTTTGAAATATAATTTAGAAGAATAGTGACATGGGAAAATTTGCTGTTATGTAAAACTATAGAAAAAACAGTAATACACTATATTACCAGTGAGTTTCTCTAAACGTTTTTAATTAACTATTTTTCAAGAAATCTACAAAGAACATGTATTTCTAAATATAAAAATATGTGTCCATAGTAAACATGTCCTTTTTTAAAAAAAAATTCCTTTCACATTACATAAAGCACATATTTATTTTTTCATATATTTATCCTTTGCCTCATTTGACAAAAATTGGAGATGAGAGGGTGCTTCTTGGAATACTTCATACCATATTGACAGATACATGGTTTTGCTTGAATCTGAATTTATTAAAAGTATAATTTTAAAGTAACAAATAGAAATTAAACCTTTGTATATTATTCCTATCTCTAATCTAGCATTTATTATCGTGAGTAGACTGAGAATTTAACTTTTATCCGCCAGCAGAGGTCACTTGTCCCAATTTCTTTTAATAACCGGGGGCATTTACAGTTAAAGACCTACAGAGTTTCCACCTTTATTGCACAGATACCCAGAATAAGAAAATATACCTAAAGGGCTGTGAAAGAAAGAAGTGATGATGGATTAGAAAGAAGCCAAGAAGTGCTATTTAGAAAGAAGTGCTATTAGAAAGAAGCCAAGATGTGCTGACCTTCAGTTTTTCTGGGGTGAGTGTTAGATACAAGGACTGTCAGGGTGTAAAGGAGATGCAAGCCAGGTGAAGAAGGTGTGGGGTAAAGAGCAATCCTGAGGGAGCAGAGAAAAGGAATAGTAGTCTGGAGCAGAAAGGAAGTTACTGTGGTTGAGGTAAAGTTTAGTGGGATGAAATGAAGTTTAAGAGTTCGTAGAGCCTTTTAGGCTGTAGGTTTAAAAACAAAAGACAAGTTTTAAAAATCCAGCGTGACTACTGTGTGGAGAATGGGTTTGAAGGTAGACTGTTGATAAGATCATTAGGGGGTTATTACAGTTAGTGAGACAAACATGGTTGTATTAAGGCCATGATAGTTAGCAATGGAGTTTGAGAAAAATAGATGGATTTGAGATGCGTTCTAGAGTATAAAATTGACAGTTCATGTGGTTTGGGGGTTTTTGCAAGGGGAAAAGTACAATACAGGACACATATTTTACAAGATTATTTATAATAGTCACCCAAAGAATCATAAACAAGAGAGTACAGGAAATCTGTCCACACACTAAAGACCAAAGAATCCAGCTGGATCCCATGGCAGTGTCTTGCATGAGTTCAGCTGAAGACTTGGAGCCCATAACAGTGCCTCCCATACGTCCAGCTGGAGCCAATGACAGTATCTCGTGCAGGCCTGTTTCATGATCTGTGCTGGGAAGGCCCAAAGGTCAGTGATGGTAGCTAGATAGTTTGTGCCAGCGGGATGAAGGATCTGTGCTAGCAGGCTGAGGGATCTACACTGGAGCAAGGAAGCAGTGCTCAAAATAAGAACCAAATTTCCCCTGAAAAGTACCACAGCCATCTTCAGCAACGGTGAGGTCCCAAGCTCCTCCAATGATCAGGACAGCCAAGTTCCCATCAGGAAAGCCAACACAAGCTTCTCCAGGAGACTGAACAGTGCACCATCTTCCCCTCCAGAGCCGGGAAGCGATGCTCAAAGTGAAGACTAGAGCTCCCCCTAAAGTGAACTGAAGCCATTCTCAGTGACAACGAGGTCCCGAGCTCCTTAGATTATGGGAACAGCTGAGTTCATCTGGAAAGCCAGTACGACAAGGTCCTCCAACAGAATTAACAGCTCCTTACAGCTTCTAACAGTACCCAATAGCTTTTACCAGCTCCTAACAACCTCTCTCAGTTCCCAACAGCCCCTTATGCTGCTGCAATTCTGGAACCTTGTGCTGCCACCGTTCTGGAACATGGAGCTCTGAAGCTTTCTCCTCAAAGTAAAGCCTTTCATCTTTGCAGGTTTGAGGCTGCAAAGGGTAGATGGAGACTTGCTTCGTGTGGTGCCCTCGAACCATCTTTTATATTCTCCTGTTCCGTTTCAGCAATCCAGATCTCCTCAACTCTTTTTCTTTCTTTTCTTTTTTCCAGTACCAGGAATTGAACTCATGACCTCACGCTTGCCAGGCAGGCGCTGTGCCACTGAGCTAAATCCCCAGCCCCTCTCCTCAGCTCTATCTTTGCAATCCACAGCTTTATTAGAGCTTCCTTTCTGGCCTAACTCACAACATTTTAAATCATCATGCTGGGCGTTTTGCTTGTGATTCTCAACATAAATCTGGCTAAAAGCCCCCAACAATAGCCATGCCACCACCTCAACATGTGATTGCCTTGAACATTCTTCTGCCAGATTAATTAGTCCTCTGTCCTTAATCTCAGTCTAGGCAACATCTCTAGACACAGGTGAAATTCTGCCAACTCATAACATACATCATCTGGACTCTAACAACCAGTGCAGTCCTTCTTCCCTGTAGAAACCTCCTGAACCCTGTCTTTCCAGCCTGGGGAGTGAACCCATCACTGAGCTACATCCCCAGCCCATTTCCTTTTTATTAAAAGTTTAGTTTTTAATAAATACTTAATGAAAATGTGGAACCCTTTAGTAACTTAATCATTCTTCTCAGGGCATATTTGTTTCTGTTTTTTATTGTGGTAAGTCATACCGTGAAGAGTAGTCTTTGTGTTCTATATGGTTTTGTATTTTAAAGTCGTACTTAATAAGAGCTTTAAAAATAAGTATCGTGACTGTTAATTTTTATATGTCAGTGCTTTAGAAATTTTTGGGGAAAAACTCCTGAAATACTCTCTTAGGTAAGGAGATGTCATGTGGAAGACTTAGAATACAAGTTTGACTTTGGTCCTGAAATTAGCCAGAAATAAACCCAAACCACAAGGAGTCTTTTTTTTTAGTTATTGTTATTACAGAAGCAACATATGTAGTAGATTGAATTGTATCTTTGCATGGGGAAAGGGAGTTTCTTTTTATTGTTTCTTATAGTCTAAATATGAATGTCAGATTTTCCTTGAAAACCAGAGTAAGTGGGAGGTGACAAACTAGAGTAGAGAGAGAGAATTGGTGATCAGTAGCTATGGTTATTAGAAGATACAGAGGTGAAAGCAGTAAAATAAAAGCAGAGACATTTTGACTACACTGATGATTATTTTTTTTTTTTAACTGGGAATCGAACTGCAGTAAAATAAAAGCAGAGATGTGTTTTGACTACACTGATGATTTTTTTTTTTGTACCGGAAATCAAACTCAGGACCTCGTGCTTGCCAGGCAGGCAGTTGTGCCACCGAGCTATATCCCCGGCCCTGATGCTTATTGTGACTAGACTAATATGAGTAACTCAGCAGTCTTGATGAAAAAAATATCCTTTAAATATGTAGCACAAGTCTTTGGCCAGCTCAGGAGAACAGTGTCAAACTAAAGATTAATATTTTCTGTGCATCTTGTTTTAGATTTTACTTTGAAGAAAGGGTATTGATATTGAGTAATATATTTTTCTATATTCTACCTACTAGAATTAATGAATTCAGTAATTCAGCTAATATTTGTACCGCTATGTGGTATTAAGTATGGTTTTGTTTTATTTAATCAGATGTGGTCTTACATAGTTTTTAGGGTATGATCAATTTTCAGCCTTGTATTAATGCCAAACATATATTTTAAAGTTGCTGATACCTGAATTCTACAAGTTAAAAATTGAAGCCTTTTCCTAATAGCAAGAGAGCTATCCAAGATTGCTAGGACAGAAAGATTTGAGGAGACCCCTACTGGTTAAAAATGGAACAATTTGAATATTATTTGGGACAATAACTGAAATGGATTGAAATATTCTATCAAATAATGTTTAAATACATGAAATTGTAAAGATTTCCCCCCCAATCCTGGGGATTGAATTTAGGACCTTGTGTATGCTAGCAAGCTGTTGTACCACTAAGCTACATCCTCAGCCTGAAACTAGTGCTATACACACAAACCAAAACTGTGTCACCAGTGTAGAATAGTTGGTAATGAACTTACTATTTTGAGAACTGGTCAATAAAGGGGAAGAATGAAAGCATTTATTGTTATATATAACAATATACTCTGGGGTAACTATAGTTACCCTATACTCTGGGGTAACTAAATAGAGAGGAATTGTCTCTTGGAGGAAGTGTTCTAGTAGGTGAAGACATGAGAAAATTAAGATGTCATGGTTTTGTAACCACCTAATAAATACCTGGTTCTAGGCATTGAACAGCAGTAGACACTCCATCATCACAAAGTCACAACCAGAACTTTCTTATAGATGGTGCTAGGGATCAAACCCAGGACCTGAAGAATGCTAGTCAAGTGCTTTGCCACTGAGCTACATTCCCAGCTCATATTGTGAGAGTCTCATCAGCATTTAAACAATGTTGTCATCATAAACCTGAATTTAGAAGAAGCTTTTATCTGTTTATGGGACACATAGAAGAACAGGTTAAAAATCATGAAAATTTGATCAGAATTTAGGACAAAAGCTCAGTACAAACAACCTGGTTTGTTCAATATTAAAAATGCAGTTAAAAAAGACATTCTGGGAAACAGTTTTAGCTCAGTGGTAGGGTGCTTACCTAGCATGTGTAAGGCGCTGGGTTTGATCACCACCAATGGAAAAAAAAAAAAAGACATTCTATAACTTAAAAGAGACTTAAAAGACATCTCAGTCACAATTGTGTGCACCTTTATTTGCATCTGTTCACATAGAAACTAAAAAATTATATTTGTAACAACTGAAAATTTGAAATTGAATATGTGTGATGTTGAGGGACTTAAAAACTGTGATGGTGGTGAGATTTTTGTTCAAGTTCTTATGTTTTAGACATGCATATTAACATAGCCATGAATGAAATTATGTTTGAGATTTGCTTCAAATTATTATACTTGTGTGAAGATACTGATATAAGTAAAGATGAAACAAGATTGACCATGAGTTGGTAATTGTTGAAAGTAGACAATAAGTATGTGGGAGTTTATTGTACTGTTTTTCTATCTTGGCATATGTTCAAACTTTTCTGTAATCAGATACCTTAAAAACTAATGAGAACCTTGCAAAAACCTAATAACATCAAGTCATAGGAACAAGTCCTCTTCTGAGGATTTTTAGACCAGAATAATTCCTCTTTAGACACCCTATCACAAACTGCAAAAATGTTTCATCAGTAGGTTAAAAAAATGTTGGTGGCAAATTGCCCTTCTTAGATAATAATTACAAAAGATATTTTTAATAGGGCTGAAAAGATGACATTAGCTGCGCATTGAAGAAGATGCTTTTCTGGTGCGTAAGCTTCTTACAAGAATTGCCTTTGCCTCTATTTCACTAACTTTGCTAGCAGTTTACATATCGTAGTGTGCAGGAATCTTCTATTCTTAAATCGTCATTACTCAGCCTTTAAGAAATAGATTCAAGAGGCTGAGGCAGAAGGATTGCCACAAGTTCAAGGACAGCTTGAACTACATAGCAAGACCTTGTCTCCAAAAAAAAAAAAAAAAAAAGCAGATGACTAATATACTGGACCTTAAACCTTGAATAATTTTTTTTTAAGTAAAAGAATAAGTTGATGTCAAGAAATTTTCCAAGAAAATATTCCAAGTCTAAAATTTGAGTGACTACTTGTCTGATTTCTTCCCATGCTCTTCAAATTATCTTCAACATTCACAGTAACATGTTCCTGATGAATCCTCTGAACCATTAAAAAATATTTTCCTTATTTCAGAAGATATATATCTGTATGTACACACATAAATCAACAACTTTAGATCATTATTAAGCTGTTAGAAAAATTTCACCTGCTCAATCTTTAACTCTTGGGGAAAGTGGATTATTTATAATGATGATTTTCATTTCATCTAAAATGTTACAACATACGAATTTTATCTATACCGAGTTTTTGCGTTCTTTCAAAAGGGAGATTCTAAGTACTCATATAAAAACAAAAGAGAAAGAGGGTCACAGAGTAGAGACAGGTTTACTTTTCTGTCACTTCAGTGAAATTGTAGAATATATTTTCTTTCTGTGTTACAGCCCTACAAAGCCTTTCGTCATCCCAGCTGCAGTGCCCAAGTGCTTCTAATTCGTGTCCTATTCTTTGCTCACTTAGAATTTGCCCATATGGAGACATCTCACCAAATGTTGATCAAATTATCTGATAAAAAATCAGTGACAGTATGAATGACTGATTAATATAATTCACTTACTGATTGTGAGATGAAAGAGAAACAGATCTCCAGCTAGTAAAAAGAGGACACAGGATAATTTTTGAGTAGGAAGGCCTCCTTACCTTCTCCAGCCTAATTCCTTTATTCTGAAAAATACATTTTTTTTTTTTTTTTTTTTTTCTTTTTGAGACAGGGTCTCGCTATGCAGTTCAGGCTGGCCTTGAGCTCACTTTGTAGCCCAGGCTGGTCTTGAACTCGCAACAATCCTCCTGCCTCAGCCTCCTGAGTGCTGGGACTACAGACGTGTGCCCCCCACGCCTAGCTTTTGAAAAATACTTTATGCCAAAATTAATTTTAGCATGTCACCAGTATCCCAAATAAAGACTATGGTATATACCAGACACTTTTCAAAATAACAGACTAATATGAATATTTTGTTTGATTTCATGTATTGTTAAAAGTTTCTGTATAAATTTATAAAATAGAAAATAATTGAAATACTGTCTGAACTTTTTCTTTAGAAAATGTGGTCTTTGTGCACCTAGGGAAATACCCTCAGAAGAAGGTGGCTTCTTAATTGTGCAGCTGGGAATTGGTTTGAAATTAAAATAATCCTTTTTTTTCTTTTAGAATGGCAGAATTTAGTGACATTTGGAAACTTTGCGTACATGGTTCCCTATCGTCACCCACACATTTGTGCACTGAGCCAAGTAAAGTTATACTCTACAAATATCCAAAAGGAAGGGCAGGAATCACAAACTCTCAGAGTAGAAAAAGTACCCACTTTTGGTGAAACAGGTATGTATAAATCCTTTTCAAATCTTTTTAATGTATGCACTTGAATGTTTTGTGTAAAAATTACTTGTATTTGATAAAACTAGACTGATGTTTTCTTTGTAGGCCTATTAAATTGCTGATTTAATTTCTTTAAATGAGTTTTATTTTTTGTAAGATTTATCCACTTAAAAATTTGATATACTGGCTTAAAGTTCATACTATTTTATTTACTCTTAATTGTATGTGTAGTTATGTCATTTTTTTGCTTTAAGATTTTTAAAAATTCTGTTATCCCCTGTTCTCCATACACACTGAGACACACTTGTTTGGAATTTGTCTGTTCTATGTCTGTACTTCAAAGTCTAAAAGGTGATTATTGATGTTTACTTTCCTTTTGAAAACTACAGAAAACTGGGAGTGCTTTTTAGCTCTGATCACGCTCTCTCAACTTACATATTATCTATCTGTTGGCTAATGTTTTGTATCTATTCTGTTCTTTTCCCGAGATTTATCCAAAATCTTTGTTAAGCACTTTTTTATTTCTGTGATCTTTCTGTCTTATATATGTGAGACCTATAGAAGTTTCTTTATATCCACAAAAGAAGGATCTTTTGTGGCAAAGGCACATTTAAGGTGTTATTCCAGTGGATTTTGACTTTCACTATTTCATTCTGCCTTTGTTGTTATATCTTTTCTATTTGTTTTAAAAATTTCATGACCTTTGATTTCAGAAATTTGTGTGTGTGTGTATAAATGACAGTTTTACTATGTAGTGTCTGAATACGTATTTCTTTGTATTTTTCCTGCTTGAGATTTGTTGGGATTCTTGGTATCTGAGGATTGGTACTTCTCTGTAACTCTGGAAATGTACAGTTCTCTGCTGTCATGTCTTCAGATACTCTTTCTGCTGCCTGTTACCTTTCTTTGGAACTCCAGTTTAGGAATATGTTAGATCATCTCTGTTTTCCGTGTCTGTAAACTAAATCTATCATATTTTCTATTTTTCTTTACCTTCCTGGTTTATCTTCTAAAATATTTCCTCAGGTATACCTAGATCACCCATTTCTTCTGTTCTGCTGACTGGTTGTGTATGTTGGATTTTTAATTTCAATTGTTACGTATTTCATTTCAAGAAAAGTTTTCATCTTTCCTTGGTTGGTCTCTAATTCTTTGCTTATATATTCAAACTTTTAAAAATTACTATAGAAACATTAAATATATTTTTTATATTTTGTGACTGGAATTCTTTTTGGTTCTCACTATATATCTTTCTCTTCTCTTTCTTTCTCACAAATGATGCTGTAACTGCGAGTTGGTTGTTTTTTCATGCAGTTTTTCTGTCTTGAAACTGATGTTTATCTGGATTGAGGATGTGTTTTTGCCTAAAGGATTTGCTTTTACTTCTGTTAGCTAGTGGGAACACAGCTTGGGACCATATTAAATCAAATTCTCTGCTTTAGATATTTGAGACTGCATTGCTGGCACGAATTCACACTGCATACTGTGTGAAGGTTGACTTGCCCTAGGATTTTCAGGGAAGTGGCTTTTTTCTTCCTTGCTACTTACCACCAAAGCAGAGGCAGGTCTTTTTCCTTACTGTTCTCTTCTGTGATTGTCATTTGTTTACAGTTCACAGTTACACCTTGTCTGTAGCGTTATTTTCTGGATACCTCCTGTGTCAGTCCCCATCTTGAGAAGGAGTTAGCCCAGTTCTCTGGTTTCTCATGTCCTTTGCCTCTGTGGAGATAGAAGCTCAAAAAATACAAGCGTCAACAGAAATCATTAGGGCAAAAGCTGGTTTTCTGTGCTTTTAGTCTGTAGAGGACCTACTTTCACTTTGTTTTTGTCCTCTTCGAATCCCCCTCCTCATTAGTGCCACCATTAAGAAGGTTTGTTCAGGGTATCTAGTCTGTATGCAGCATTAAAGGAAAGTCCTTTATTTGCTTATTGATTAATTTAATATAGCAATACATGAGAATAGTCTCCATTACTAAAGCAGAAAAGTAAGAAAAAAAATATTTTACGGTAAGTACTGGGATGGGGAAATTCAATGTATTGCAGGAGCATGTGGGAGGGACACGTGAGTCTTGAGTAGTTAGGAAGGATTTCCTTAAAGAAGTGGTATCAAATTAGGGACATGAAGAAAAATAGGTATTGGTGTGAGGAATAACTAACATTGCAAAGGAGACTAAAAGTGGTCATCCCATGAAGGTCTAGGGACTGTGCTGATGGTAACCCCTTTTTAGGGGAGGAGATGAAATCGAGATTTAGAAGCTGAACAATTAGGATATGGTAGTTGCATCTAGAAGATAGAAGAGAAGGTAAAGGACAATTGCTGGTTATTGCATCAGGCAGTATAAATGATTTCATTGATTTCTATAATTAGAAATATCTAAGAGTCCATTTTAATGAGATGATAATGATTGGTTTTGGACAACTTCTCAACTGTATGTACCTAATGAGAGTTGGTATTCACATCCATTTTCTTCTGTTATTCTGTTACTTGCTCATTGTTTCAGCCAAGCTGATCTCTTAGCTGATTCTTGTTGTGAGACCTTTGCTCTAGGTGCCCCTATTCATATGGCTGGCCCTTCCTAATTATTCATATCTTTGTTTTATGGGAATTGATCTCAGGGCCTATACACTAAGAAACATTCCCACCCCTGTTTGAGATTTTGAGACAGAGTCCTAAGTTGTGCAAGTGCCTAGGTTGGGCTTGCACTTGCAATCCACCTACCTCAGCCTCCCAGACTGCTAGGATTACAGGTGTGAGCCACCTTGCCCATTTAAAGTTTTAGTTTAAATGTCAGGTTTGCACAGAGATTTTTTAAATCCTCAAACTAAAGTAGTCCTCCCCCGCCACCCGGTCTTTAATACTGTAATTTTCTGCATAGGCAACACTGTTCTGACTGATATTTTCAGTGTTTCATTTATTTCTTTATCTTACACTCATTGCAAGCCTCACAATAGCAGGAACTTGAGTGCCTACAGCAGTGGTTTGCACACAGTAAGGGCTTAATAAATATTTGTAAATGAGTGACTGCATGAAGTTTAACATGGGGGTAAAGATTTAAAATTCTTGTGCTAAACACAGATGGTAACTAAAGCCACGAATTTAAGTCAGTGCAGGGAGAGTGGTTAGGAGGAAGAGATAAGATCTTTAGTATAAAATCGCCAAGATGAGTAAGATTTGGTGCACAGTAGACTTGAGAAGGAATGGCTGGTGAAAAACCAAGGAAGATATGGTATCAGATTAGAGTATTTGAAGAATAAACATCCCAAGCCTAGCTTTCTTAGTGAACGTCTACAGAAGGTCTTAGGGATTTCTGAGAAAATGTTCATGTTAGTAAGGTCTATTTTTCATTCTTGTTCCTACATCCAGTCCTCTGTGGGCTTACCTGTGCACTTTTAGCCAGTTTCTTCTCTATCTTGTTACGGTGGAGAACTGCTGAGACAAATATAGTTGGATATTATAGGAAGAAGGAATGGAAAATGTATTAAGTTCTCAGGTGCTAGAATTAAGAATGTTTGTTAGAGCACAGTAAAGATGAAACAAATAATTAATGGTAAAATATTAATATATTATTTAATATATAACAATGTATTCTTAAATGATTATAGACTTGGGCAAACATATTGAATGTTGGTTTCACTATACAAAATCTTTAAAGTTGACATTCATAACTAGGATTCTTTTTTTTATTTGGCTGGAATAAAAATGTTATTTTCATATATTAGAAATATATTGTTTATTGACAGTTTTATTTTGGGCTCTTTTCAAGATTTGCTTAGGCCAAATTAGGTCTTGTTAGCCATCAGTTAGATACCAAGTAATTGCTTGATTGAAAGATAATTTGTATACTGTTTGCGATTGACTTTTGAATAATTCAGATCACATGCTGAAGTCAGGAACAGCTCATTAAGAAGCAGACTTGCTAAGGCATCCTTAAATTTTTAAGGAGCATTCACATGTTTCAAATTTTAGTAAAATTAGTTTTAATTTTCCTAATGATAGCAGATGTGTGGCAAACAGCCAGGATTTGAGTTTAAAACAAATGTCTAAAGCTACTGGGTAGATTATTCTACACCAGTGATGCAGTGTGACTTATAAGATGGTGGTGAGCAAAATAAATATTCATACGTGTGTTTGAGTCATTTGCTAACATTCTTGTTTGCACTTCATAACACTATATATTTAGCAACATCTAGACAGTTTGTAGTGAGAATATTCAGAAGTACTCATCTTAGAGAAACTTTTTCTATGTGATTTGATTGAATAATCCTTGTGGAAAGAAGGGTGGTATTTGCAACTTCAGACAGTAAGTTTCAGTTGTTCAGATACTAATGAGTGTTGAAAACTTACTACTCCACCTTTTTCCCCTTCCCGTTGTGCTGTGCTGTTTCCCAAAGGAAAATTAAAAAAAAACTTGACATACAGATTCTGTAGATAAAGATGCTTAGAATTTCCTACCCTTGTGTCACTAATAATAATCATAATTATTTAACTTACTAATGTCTAATAACTATAGTCTACAGTTATTCATGAAGTAGAAATGTTTTCAATAATCTTATCTTTAAATACCCAGTACACGATTATAACCTACTTAGGATTTGGTTTATAAAAATTTAGATTTTTCTGTACATCTACAGTAACTATGCCATAATACACTGTATACGGTAATTTTTCCCAGTAGTTTTAATTTTGCCAAGAAATATACTAAAACTTACATGTAAAGTTTTTTGTTTTTGTTTCAAAGAGAGTTTGGCCTTTGTAATTGCTTTGTCTGTTAGCATTTAATTCCTTCATATAAGTTTTTTGTTTGTTTTGTTTTTTTGAGACAGGGTCTTGCTATACAGTTTAGGCTGGCCTTGAACTCACTTTGTAGTCCAGGCTGGTCTCAAACTCCCAACGATCCTCCTGCCTCAGCCTCATGAGTGCTGGGATTATGGGTGTGTGCCACCACACAGTGCTTTTTCATATAAGTCTTGAAAGAAGTCAGTGGATAGGTAAAACTTGTGATCAAGTTGGCAAGTGAGTACATTGTGAGTACATGTTTTGAGGTATCCACTCTACTTTGCACTCAGAGGAATGCTGGGTAGAATGTAAATTTAAAAAATTGAAGTTATAACTAGGCAAAAAAAAACCCTCATACTTTATCTTAAAAATGGAACAGAAACATCTGGGCTCTGGGTATGTAAGCAGTCAGTAGCAGGGTTTGTTTGTTTGGGGTCATAGATCTGCATGCTACATCCATAGCCATAGATTGAAGTTGAGCTCGCTATTTGAACTTGTCCACCTATGCCTATACAAGGAGGCTGTTCCACTAGTCTTGAGAGGCAGGAAGACCACTAGCAACTAAACTCTCCTGTTTCCATGCAATATTTAACTTTCTGAGTTACTTCACTTAACATTGTGGTCCCAAGATCCATCCATTGTTCTGCAAATGACATTACTTCTTTCTTTATGGCTGAGTAACAGTCTCTTGTGTATTTACACCACATTGTCTTTGTCCATCTGTCTGTTGATGGGCTTATAGGCAGTTCCAGAGTTGAACTATGGTGAATTGCACTGTGCATGTATTACTGTGGTATGACATCATTAACTCTTCTGATAATGTACCTGGGAGAGCTATAGCGGGGTCAAATGAAATTTCTATTTTTAGTTTGCAAACCCCAAAACTTAAAAATATATGAGAAATCCTAATGCTGAGAAAGCCAACAGAATCAAGAAATTCTAACTCCAGATGAAATAATGGCCTGAATTGTATTAAAATACTCTCAGTATAAATGAAGGACTTATGTCCATTAAGAAGTGTAAGAACGTTTGAAACACAAACTAGTGGAAGTAAAACCAGAATAAGTAGATATGGAAAGGTGACAACTAGAAATCTTAGAAATGAAAGTGAATCACTGAAATAAAAATTTAGTAGGTTAAATAGTTATAGCCATTAAGAGAATTAGTAAATTGAAATTTACTTTTTAAGGTGTATAGGAATCCTGAAGAAAGTGCCTTTTGAATATTAAGCAAGATAAGCAAAAACAAATCTACCCCAGATACCTTACAGGGAAATCACAGATTCAGCGAAGATCCCAGCCTAAACTTGCCAAGAAATCATAGTGTGAAGTCCAGTTGCTGCTCTTTTGAGGTGGACGTTTTATGTGTAGCAGTATGCAGACAGCAAAAGGGGGAGTGTTTTGTAGTAATGACCATGAAAGAAAAAAGGAAAAGTAAATATTACTGTAGAATTTTATATTAATCATAGCAATCATTCTGTAGTAAAGCAAAAATAACATATTATCACACACATAAAGATAAATGTCACTAGCCAACCCACCTACAAGATGCAGAAAGCTTCAGGGGGAGAGAAGAGGTGAAATACAAAACAAACAATGAAGAACAAGAAATGGATGAAAGAGGTTAGTAAAGTTAAGTATTGATAATGGACATAATAAACACTTAATATTTAATACTAGTAAGATGAAAGGAGTTTTCAGTAGTTAAAAATATTTTTCTTGTTTGAGACGTAGATGCCAAATAACTTTATAGATTTTTAGGAAGATTTACAAGAAAGTATGAATGTTCCATTAAACAGTAGAAATGTAATCTTAAGAATTCTAAACCAGCAAGTGGGGGATAGGTAAGAGGAAGATATTGAAAAGGTAAAAAAAAAAAAAATTAAAGATGGTAAATGAAATAGACATTAAGATTGTAGTTGTCTAAAAGTACCACAAAAAGTGATCAGATTTAATGTGTTCCTTGTCATTTAAATTCATTCGTATTGTAAATATGTGGGAACTTTTTTTTTTTTTTTGTCTTTTTGAGACAAGTTCTTGCTATGTAGTTCATTCAGGCTGGCCTTGAGCTCACTTTGTAGCCCAGACTGGTCTTGAACTCTCAGTGATCCTCTTGCCTCAGCCTCGTGAGCGCTGGGATTACAAGCATGGGCCACCACACCCAGTTTAATTTTTATTTAATTGCACTTTCAGAGTTTTCCTGTATACAGTATTCTTAATTCAGTGCTGTCTCATATGCTGAAGGAGTTTGCTTTTGTGATTATCCTCTTAATCTGTTATGCCATTTCTTCCTCGGTGCATTATTCTCACCTCTGAAATACAGTGAACCTTTCCTTGATTCCATTTACCTCCTCAAAGTCCAAATACTTCTCCCCACTTCGTATTCCTTTGTCTCTTCTACCTACTCCATGTCTACTGTTCTGTGAAAACTGCTCTTGTCAGGAGCTTCCAGTGATCTTCCTGTTGCTAATCCAGTATCACACTGAGCCTCTTCTTTTTTTCCCTAAGAAAATAAATCCAGTGCCTATCCATAAGTCAAATACAGAGGTAGTATTGGAAGATGATGAAGAGCATAAGCTTATCAAAGTGTCTTGGGTTTTTGTCCTGACTGTGCCTCCACATTTAAAATACTAGCTGCATGACAGATTTGGGGGAAGTTACAACCTCTCTTTGCCCCAGTTTCTTGTAAGATGAAGGGTATTTGTGTCAGAGTGGTTTTGTAGAAATAAATGAAGTTATATGCATAAAGTACACAAGATTTTATACAGGACTATATATGGTACATTAAATGCTGAATAAATGTTAGCTATGATTCAACCCTTAATTAATTAATTAATTAATTAAAGAAGATTGAAGATTGAACCCAGGCTCTCATACATGCTAGGCAAATGCTGTACCACTAAGCTACATCCCCAGATCTTAAAACCTGTTATTATTGAGTAAGGGTGTAAATTTTAATGAGGGTAAATATATTTATTAGAAAATCTTTAGTACGTATACATTGTAATATTCTTTAGTATGTAAATGAGAGAATGAAATCAGTGTCTAGAAATTTACCACTCAACCTGAGAACTTTTTCCCCTATTTGACGACATCCTCCTCACAACTGTATGCCTGTTTCATTGTCCTAAATTTGGGGCCTCAGGCTCTTGATTTCAGAAAACAAGCAGAACTAGAATATTTGTACATGTTGTTATATTTGTACATGTTCTGAGTTATTTAGTTTTGCTTGTTTTTTGAAGTTTGTTGTGATAGTTATTATATGTGTTCTTTCATGATTTAAAAAGATTTTGTTTATCTTTACTATTATTTATGATTTATCTTTACTATTATTGTATGTGTCTGGTTCATTACTTTTTGTTTTTTGGTTTTTGTTTTTGTTTTTTGAGATAGGGTCTCGCTATTCATTTCAGGTTGGCCTTGATCTCACTATGTAGCCCAGGCTGCCCTGGAACTTGTGGTGAGCCTCCTGCCTCAGCCTCCTGAGTGCTGGGATTACAGGTGTGCACCACCCCACCTGGCCATGGTTCATTACTTTTCAAGGAGATGATTAGAGTAAGCATTATTCAGTTCCATTGTGTGAATTAAATGAGTTATGCATAAAAAGTGCTTAGGGTAGTACTTGACACACAGAGCTCACAGACAGATAGCCATTATTGTTTATCATTATTCACTGCTATACGAAATGATGTATGAATATAACATGAATTGTCTATTTTACTGATGAGCACTTGGGTTGATTCTAGTTTGTAAGAACAGAACACAGTGCTGCTCTGTTCATGTACCTCTCTTCTTGGGGCCTTCTGCAAGGGTTTTTTGAAGCCTGATATATTGATCTAGAAGAACTGCAGGGTCAATCCTATTGCTTACATTCTACCAATTTAGGTAATGCCAACTTTTTTACCAAGGTAATGGTGCCTGTTTGTACATTGACCAGCAGTGCATTGCTTCATATCTGTGCTGACATTAGATGTTGTCATATTTTCACTTTTCCTAATCTAATGGTTGTAAAATGGCATTTTGTAGTTGCATTTGTATGCCATTAATAATGAAGTAATCACCTTTTATATATGTATTAGTTATTTGTATTTCTTTTTCTATGTAAGTTAGTTCTGCTCATTTTTTATGATTGATCTGGGAGAATTGTTAAAATATTCTTGATACCAGTCCTTTGTTGATTCCACTTGTTGAAAAATTTTTCTCATTTTGAGTTTTTTTTTAATGTGGGATTTTTTGATAAACAGATAATGCTGATTTTAATGTAGCATTATTTTTGTTTAAGAACTCTTTCATGACCATGAAAATACTTTACTGTCTATTATGAGGCATGTACATGCATTTAAATAGTAAATCTACCTGAAAATTTTTTTATCGTAGTAGGAAATTTCTGTTTATTGTAGGAGGTAGAGTTGAATTTATTTATTTTTGTTGTTTTTTTTCCTCTTATTAGCAGATGTTTGTAAAACAAAGTGAATACATTCATCGGGGGAATTGGGAATAGGTGCATGTACATATCACAGCTTGATTGTTTTATTTCCTTTTATCTGTATCTAGATTTTATGTATTGTGGGTGGAGGGCTGTACAGTTGTCGCGCACCATTTATTAGTCAGTATTGCCTCATTGCATAGTGTTTCCAGACAGTTGGAAGTAGAAGAATTTTGTGCATCCTGTTTTGTTTCTTCTTTTGCAGGAATCCACCTAACCTTGAATACAGTGTTTGTTGTGGAGTTATTTTATCCTTTAAAGAAATTCCTTTGTGTCCTAATTTTTTGAAAGCCATTTGCATGGCTATTGTATTTTATTAAATGGCTTTTCTTTGTAGCTTGTGAAATGATTGTGTAGTTTTTCTCCTTTAATTTGTTAGTGAGAGAAATGACTCACTCTTGTAGTATTTAACTACTCTTACACTCATAGGATAAATCCAATGTGGACTATGATAATATTATCTTTTTATACATTTACAGATTAAATTAGCTAATTTTAATTGTTTATGGATTAATGTGGAAACAACTAATGTAAACTTGTTTCAATGAACTTTACAGCAGAAAATATAGGTGCAGAACTCAAAGCTCCACTAAAGCAAGAACCTCTCCAAGTAAGGGGTAAATATATTTTATTCTATTTTTTTTATTCTAGTATTTTTAATGAAATATGTAAGATGTTAGTATGGATATGTTTATAGTTACACTTGAAGGATACAGTACTATTTCACTTTTATAGATTGTCCATAAGAATTTATTGTTTATAAGCTAATTTTCTACTGGTTTATTTGTATTTTGGTCATAATTATTTTAAAAGAAGCAAAACCATTAAATCAAGTCTTATCATTTTTGGAATAGTCATCTGATATATAGTTTTTGAAGGGGATAATTAAATATTGAAGTAATTTCTGTTTGCAGCTTTGCTCTATGTAACGTGTCAGGGTTCTTATCCTCAAAGCAGCTGTTTTGTGGAGACACTAACTATGTGACTCAGAGCACTGTGGCTTTGGTGTCGTACAAAACTAGTTCAATTTGTGGCTCCTGAGCTTACCCTCTGTCTGACTTTGGGCTATGTTTTTGACCTCTCTGAGCCTTAGTTGTCTCCCCTGTAAGACTGTGCTAAAAATGAGGCCTCTTTTCTCGGATAACTTTGGATATCCTGGATAGCAGATATCCTAGATATCTTAGGATAGCAGATAGCCAAAATTAAGAATAGTGGATGTCGAGATACCCGTTACTATCATCACAATCATCATCAATACTCTAGGCCAGGATAGGCAAACAGAAATTTCTAGGCATTTTGGAGGAAAAATTTTAAACTATTTTTTTAAAAAAGAACTCATCTTTTTATTTATTTATTTTTATACCGGGAATCAAACTCAGGACCTTCCACTTGCCAGGCAGGCGCTTGTGCCACTGAAGAACTCATCTTTTAAAAGAAGGTATTATTCTTCTCTTAGCTGTAGAAGAGCTCACGAGCATTTTGAGTTTTAGGTCATTGGAGGAAGGTAGCCGGGGGACCTAAAAATCATGCAAAACAGAATCTGAACTTCCATATACTTTTTTTTGAGGTTAGGCATTTTTTGTTGTTCTTTTTTTTTTTTTTTTTTTTTTTTTTTTTTTTGAGATAGAGTTTCGCTATGCCGTTCAGGTTGTACATGAGCTCACTTTGTAGGCCAGGCTGGCCTTGAACTTGTAGTGATCCTCCTGCCTCAGCCTCCCAAGTTCTGGGATTAAAAGTGTGTGCTCCCATGCCTGCCAAGGATTTGGTTTTTAGGTAGGTAGTCTTTTTTTTTTTTAGTATGGGAATCAAACTCAGAACCTTGCACTTGCCAGGCAGGCACTGGTGCTGCTGAGCTACAACCTTGGCCGTGGGTTTGGTTTTTATATTGAATTTTATTTTTGAAATATTCTTATATATGTACATTTTATTTCTGTAGATAATGTGTTTCTTAAAGGATTATTTTCATCCATTAACATGATAATTTTAGGCTTGATTTTGTTCTTTTAACTTGGAAGATTGGGATTAACATACAGGTGTGTTACTAGGGATTAACATGCAGGAACATAGAATATGAAGTAAATGCCAGTTTGAAACAGTATGTAGAGTTTTTGTTGTTTTGCTCTTATTCTTCAGATGTTTGCTTGTCTATATCACATGACCAAAAGCCTCGTCTCATAATGATTTATTAACATAGAACAGGTATAACTTAATAGGTGTAACTTAACTCATAGACTATAATTAATGCCAATTTGGTACTTTGTTATTTGTGTCTCTTGCAATCCTTACTTTCTCTTTTTAGATTAAGGTCTCAATATATAGCCCAGGTTGGCTTCATATTTGCTGGGATCCTCCTGCCTCAGTCTCCCAGGTGCTGAGATTACAGGTGTATACCTTGACTGAGGCCTAGGCCCGTTCAGTCTACCTTGTTTTTTTTTTTTTTTTTTTTCTTAATATGTATATATTAGGGATCCAACCCAGGGCCTTCCTTCACATGTGCTACATTCCCAGTCCCCAGTGTTTACTTTCTTTCTTTTTTTTCCTTCTTTTGGACTACAGATTGAACCTAGGGCTTTTGCATTGAGCTATATAGCCCTAGCAATTTTTAAATTTTGAGACAGGGTCTCACTAAGTCATTAAATTGCCCAGGCTCGGTTCACACTTGTAACACTTCTGCCTCAGCATCCCAAAATGCTGAGATGTCAGGCATGTGCCACCATGTGGCATTGCCAGTCTTTATCTTTTATGAGCAGGTGTGCTTTTTGTTTGTTTGTTTGGGTTTTTTCATTTTATTTTGTTTATGCATACCCAGGGATGCTCTACCACTGAACTATATCTTCAGCCCCTTTTATTTTTTGTTTTGAGACAGAGTCCTGCTAAATTGTCTGGCTTGACCTCAAACTTGTGATCTTCCTGCCTCAGCTTCCTGAGTAGCCAGATTATAGGCATGAACCAAGATTTTTTCTCCCAGTGTTAGATATTAAACCCAGGGCCTTGTATATCCTAGACAAGTTCTCTGTCACTGGGCTATATTCCTAGATCCTCATGAGTATTTTGATATTTGACAATAGGAAAATAATATATTAGAAGGCAATATTTATTTATAACATGTAAACCATGAAATTTTTGATCAGTGAAATTTGTTCCTTAATTTACTTCAGTTTTGTTACATCACATGAAATAGTCCAATGGCTTTAAACTTTTTTGACTATAATCCACAAAAAATACTAGTTAATGACCCCAAAAGTATAGATTATTATATATAATTTGAATCAAAACTTTTCACAAAAAGTATTTATTCTTAATTTCTTTAATTGCATTCTCTTTTATAAAATGCTGGTTTCACCCCATTGTTTGAAAAAAGTGAACTAGCCTGTAATTTTTTATTGAAACTTTGTTTTTGTTTAGAGCCTAAATGACTTGAATTGTTTTAATGATTTAAAGAATACTACTTATACAAATTGTCCACTAGACAAAATTTATCATTTTAGCATAAGTTACAGTTGAGTTTATTCAAATAAAAGCTAGATGGCTGCAATGAGATTCCACCCTCTTCTGCACTTGGCATTTTTTTGTTTTTGTTGTTTTTTGAAACAGGGTCTTCCTATGTAGTTCAAGCTGTTTTTGAATTATTTAGCTTAGCCTGGTCTTGAACTCACAGTGATCCATCCTCCTGCTTCAGCCTCCAAAGTGCCGGGATTACAGGCGTGTACAACCTGCCTGGAGGAGCATTTTAGGAAGAAAGATCAACTTCCAGTGGAATTTATTAGTGACCTCACTTAAATATCAACACACATTCATCTTCAGATATGACTTTGGTGTGCATACTTACATGTTTTCTTGTATCTTGGTTTAGTCAAAGCAGTTCTTAAGAAAAGGGAATATGGATCAAAATACACTCAGAATAATTTCATCACTGGAGTCAGAGCAATAAATGAGTTCTGCCTCAAATCCAGGTACAGTACTTTTTAAAAAATGTGGTAGTGTGCCTTATCTAAATAATCTAGCTCATTCTTCCCTCCTTCCCTCCCTCCCTTCCTTTCTTCCTTTTCTTTTCTTTTTTTTTCTAGTGTTTGAGACAGCGTCTTCCTGTGTAGTCCAGGCTAGTCTTGAACTCACTGTGTGGCCTAGGCTGGCCTGGAACTCATGGGAATCCTCCTGCCTCAGCCTCCTAAGTGCTGGGATTATAGACATGTGCCACCATGCCTGGCCTAATTTGTGTCGTACTACCATCCATATGTAGAAAATTTCCCACAATTTCCCAAAATTTCCTTCCTAAATTGGAGAAATGTTTTTATTCAGTGAAAAATGTTAAAATTGTTAGTTTATTAAACTGAATTCTGCTTAAGCATGATCAATTTCAGTCTCTCAGAGTTTTAAATCTATAAGGCAAATTTTTTAAAACCTCTGTATTGCACACAATTCTTAGGAGTTCTGTTATTATAGTGGGATGTGGCATAGTTATCAATAAGATTATTAGCATATTTGTCCTTATACATTTTGTTGTTTTTATTTTTTTGACCCACAGAGTAGAAAACTTTGTTATATTTAACGATCATACTCATAATTGTGATTTCTGTTGAGTATAATTTTACTTTCTGATATTTCCTGTTATTCATTTTCTCACAATCAGAGAGATTTATTGGAATTGTATTTATCATAGATTTAAACTTTTCTTTGTCCTTTGTGGGCCATTTAGAGAACCCACATAATCTGTTTTTTCCCCTTTGCCTCATGGTCAAAGAAATACATGTTTCTATAATTGCATGACTTCCATAACTACTGAAACAATTATAATAACATTACCACAAAATTATATTCTGTTTCAGATGGAGTGTTTCATTTGGTGCTAGCACATTTTCTTTAATTAGATGGATTAGATACTGCTGTCTCGCTGGGCATGGTGGCGCATGCCTGTAACCCCGGCATTTGGGAGGCTGTCCTGGGCCGCACAGTGAGAGGCTATCTCAAAGACACAGGAAGAAACACACACACACACACACACACACACACACACACACACACACACACACACACACACACGATACTGCTGTCTCGAAGTTGTAGACCAGGAAAAATAGTAAATGACTCATTTGGTGAATCAGTGACAGGAAGGGAATTAGAATACGTATCTTTTCATATCTAGCCCAAACTTCTTTAGTAATATGTAATGGCTGTTGATTTTTTTTAAAATCTAGATTTAATTTGTAACTTAATGACATTCCGTTGTCAGTGATTTTTTTATTTATAGGTCTTTTCATTGCTGTTAAAAATTTCCTTAGGAAGATAACAAATGTTTAGCTAGCAGTGACCTGATAAATATATAAATGTTTTAGAATTTGAGAAAAAGAAAATATTTAGCACCTAATTGACACACAGGCTTTATGACTTGATACCCTTGAGTGGATATAAACACTTAACCTTAATCTAGATGTGAACAAATGACTTGTAAATTTTTTATTTAAAATCTTTAATATGAAGATCATATTCTAATTTCTAGTGTTTTCACTTAAGACTTTTTTCATACACTAGAGGTGGTGGTGTGCCTGTAGCAGATAAAATACAAGCACTGATGAGGGAGTTAAATACATACAATATTACGTTCTTGAACATCACAAATAATTCTTGAGGATTAGTGTGAATTTGAGGCCAGCCTGGGCTGTAGAGTAAGTCCAAGACCAGCCTGGATTACACAGCATGACTCTGTTTCCAAAAAACAAAAAAAAAGCTTTTTTTATTGTCTCTATACCATTTTCATACACAGAAATGCCATCTTTAAAATGATCTTTAAGGCCTGGGGATATAGCTCAGTGGCATAAGCGCTTGCCTGGCAAGCCTAAGGTCATGAGTTCCATTCCCGGTACCAAAAAAAAAAAAAAAGGTCTTTAAAAGCTCTACAGATATATTCTTTTAAAATGAAGATGAATTTTTACCTGCCCTTAATAATTCTTTTAGTTGATAAACTGTATGTACTTTGAATAAATGCAACATGTTTTTTTCTCAGTGATCTAGAACAGCTTCGAAAAATCAGACGACGAAGTCCCCATGAAGATACTGAGTCCTTTACTGTATATTTGAGATCAGATGTGGAGGCCAAGTAAGAGCATAATTATTTTAGAAAAAACTACAAGCCAAATTTGGGATAAATAAAGAGACATTTGAGACAAATTACGAATTCTTAAAATGACATTTTAAAAAACAATATTTTTATATTTGCAAATTTGTTTATCTGTACTAGTAACAAATTTATCTGTACACTGATTGTACTGGTTAACTAAATACATGCCATAATTTATAATTTTTAAATTTTACTTATTGTTTATATTTACTTTAGTGAAGTTCCTTAAATGCTTTAGATTTCTCTATAAAGATCTTACCCTTTTTTATAAGATTCTGTTTAGTTATAGTAGTTCATTTATATTTAAATATAAATTACCATAAAGTCATTAAAATTGCTCATTGGTGGTATGTGTGTATGCACAGATCTTTGGAGGTTTGGGGAAGTCCTGAAGCTCTTGCTAGAGAGAAAAAGCTGCGTAAAGAAGCAGAAATAGAATACAGAGAACGTAAGTATGTTCAAGTTAAAAAGTAACAGATGGGGAAGAACTGCCTGCAGTAGCTGTACACTGTGCTTGCATGCCTTAGGGCTTTGGCCGTGTTGGTTCCAGCAACTACCAGTTTCCATTTGGGGATTTAATTATTTTATAAAGGATAAGATCTAGGTTTTTGATTTTTTTTTCCCCTTGATAGTTTTTTGAATATGAAAGGAAGAGAAGCCATAGTTTGTGGTTTCTGTGACACATAGAACTACCAAAAATTACTTATTTTTATTTATTTATTTATTTATTTTATTTATTTTTTTGAGGCAGTGTCTCTCTATTAGTGCAGTCCGGCCTTGACCTTACTTGTATAGCCCATGCTGGCCTTGAACTCACTGCAATCCTCTTGCGTCAGGCTCCAGAGTATAGGGATTACAAGGTTGTGCTACCATGCCTGGCTGTACCTAAATTTATGATGTGATTTAAAGTTGTACTGGTTATAAAAAATAGAGGTTTCTGGTTTCTTACAGAATGGGCTCTTCACCCAGCCACCACATAAATTCATTCCTTCAGCAGATATTTATCAAACACGCATTATAAATAAGAAGCTGTGCTTAGTGCTTCAGATGTAGATACAAAGAAGACTGTCAGGAATTTAAACAGCTAGCAGTTTAGTGACAAAGTGATCTTAGAATTTGGGATTAGAGTAATATGAAATACGTTTTAAATAATTATTCATTATATGTGTATTAATCATTATATATGTGTGTATTATATGTGATACATACTTATGATTTAAAAAAAACATTGCAGAAATATAAGCCAAGTGTAGTGTCACACACCTCTAATCCCAGCAGTCTGGGAGGCTGAGGCAAAAAAATTACAAGTTAGAGCCCAGCCTGGGCAACAGCAAGACTCTGTCTCAGAATTTTGAAAAATAAAAAATAAGATCTGGGCATGTATAGCTCAGTCAAAGTAGTTCAGTCCCCAGTACTATTTTTTAAAAATTACGAGAATACAAAGATTAAAAGTTTCCTTTTGTTTTATGTAATACTGTTATATGTAATATGTAATACTACATATATGCAATATGCATATATATGTAATATGTAATACTGTTACTTTCTTTTCTTGAGTTAACTTGTTGACATTTTGGTACATAGCTTTTCAGAATATATTCAATGCATTTAAAAATTTACATGCAGGGGCTGGGGATATAGCTCAGCAGCACAGTGTCTGCCTCGCAAGCACATGGTCGTGAGTTCGATTCCCGGTACCAAAAAAAAAATTTACATGCATTTTTTTCACTTAAACATGAATAGGATGTCACTATAAACATTTACATCTTGCCGTTTATACACAGCAGTATATGGGTAACTATTCTGACTCTCCATATAGAAATCCATCTTTATCTCATTTTCTTTTAAAAGGTGAGTGGTATTCTGTTGTATTGGTGTAGCAAGAATTATTTTTCAGTAATACATAAAAGTTTTTCAGTAATATATAAAGAATATGTTATTAAATATCCTGAGACTTTTTCACTTTTGTCCCTCCCTCCCTCCCTCCCTCCCTTTCTTTCTGTGGTGCTGGGGATTAAACTCAGTGCCTGCTGGCAGGTACTTTACTATTAAGTTACACCCTTATACCTTAATTCCTTCCTTCTCCCTCGCTCCCTCCCTCCCTCCTTCCCTCCCTCTCTCCCTCCCAACCACCCTCCCTTTCTTCCTTTCTTATCACATGAGACTATTACAGATATTTATGTGGTGTAGAGTGTTAATAATAGAATTTTAGCCAGGGATATAGCTCAGTGGCAAAACACCTGCCTGGCAAGCACAAGGTCCTGAGTTTGATTCCTGGTTCAAAAAAAAAAAAAAAATAGAATTTTAAGGTCAAAAGGCATGGGCATTTTAAAATTTGAGAGACCTTGAAGAATTATTCTCCAAAGGGAATATAGTACCAATTTATATCAGCACTGACAGTATTTGATGGTGGCTGTTTTTTTGTACCCTTTCCAATGCTGGCTATTAACCGTGCTTTATTTTTTTTTGTGTACTTAATGGACAACAGATAATGCTTGCTTAATTTTGAATTTCTGTGATTAGCATTGAGGTCAGTTGTCTTCTGGTTATTGCTTTTTCCAGGTTCTTCTGTAATAATTTTTATATCTGTTCTTTACTCACTTATAGATCATGCGTCTTTCAAAATACGTTTTAGTGAGTTTGGTGAATTTTAATACTTAGTTTTATTTATTTATTTATTTCCAGTACTGGGAATTGAATTCACGACCTTGCGCTTGCCAGGCAGGCGCTGTGCTGCTGAGCTAAATCCCCAGCCCCAGTACTTAGTTTTAAATGTTCTAACATCTGTCTTCAACGTCTGTCTTTTTGGCCTTCCTGTCCTTTTACTGAGGAAGTTTGACATACTCAGAAGTACTAAGGATAGTACAACCATCAAGTACCCACCATCTAGCTTTACAGTTACTGACATATGCCTAACCTTGTTTCTCCCTCACAAACCTTCACCTTACCAGATTACTTTGAAACTAGCTCCAGAAATGATATTATTCATCTGTAAATATTTTAATATGTATCTCTGAATGATCAGGATTTTTTTTAGTCAGTTTGTGGAATATTATAGTGAAGTTATTTACTGCCTCCAATAACATGTCAGTCTTAATAATCTCTCAGTTTCCCTGTGGTTGGAGGTCTAAGATGTTTCATATAGCTTTATTTCTGGCAAAGAAAGTGAGTGACCTTCTGTTGCTGCTTCCTTTTCTTAGTAAATTTGAAAACACTTTGTGTCATTCCAGCCAGACCAGTTAGGAATAACGAGTAGATTCTGAGATTTTGAGGGGCCTAGAATTACAATTTTCCCTTACCTGTGTATTGAATAAGTTGTAGATTTCCTTACAAAATCCAAGTCCTTTATAAATACTATGTTTATTTTGAAAAATATGAAGGAGTTGGTGAATCCTAGTTTTAATGAGTTTTGGCCTCTCAGAAGGAGCAAGCAGTTACTGACTATCTGCAGATATGCTAAAGAGGGTGACACATTCACCAAAGTGATATACTTACTTTCAATAGATACAATACCTATTGGGGTCAAGAAGCCTTACAAATTTTGATGTACTATTCAGCTCTTGAGTTTGTAATACGGGTGCTAGCACAGAATATAATCAGGTGTTTTAACAGGACATATTCTACTGGGGAAATAAGTACCCTCATTGGAGTTACAGTTCTGTTACCCTGAGGAACTTACATAGATAGGACTTCAATGGAGATGAGGATGCTTATGCCTATGAAGAATGTACACATTTTTCTTCAGTAATCAGATTTATTATATTTTATCTGTTAAGTGATTAATGGATGTGACTGAGCATCCTTGGGTTTTCCAGAAGAGTATCGTGGCTCTGATTGCCTTTTTCAGTTTGGTGTTCTCTTGTGTTCATATTCCTTATGATCATGACAGTAATTTTTATCAGTTTTATTACAAAGGAGCTAGACATACTTAGGATTTGAGAAGTTAATAAATTTTGGCTTATATGATTGTCAAAAGCTCTTATTTCTTAATTGTCTAATTTTAGTGATACATATTTCTTCCTTTCATTTGATGTTAGATTAGGTTTCTCACAGTGCTTTGCAATTTTAGGTCTTCCAACATGAACTAAGAGCCATTCCATTCTAGTTCTTACCATAATTATTTTCGGTTTAAGGCCTTTTCACCAAAGAGGCATAAGGAATCTTTTAGCATTCTATGTCAGTCAGTGTCTGAATATTGTTAATTTTTAGCAAGTTTAATTCTAAAATTGTCAATTCTGTGTTAATTGTTTATGGTTTTTGAATCTTAGTCTAGTTAATTTTAGTAAGAGGGGTCTTTCTGGATAGCTTGTAACGACCTGTGTCCTTGGTTCTCAGTGAACTTACTGATGCTGTGGAATCTGTCTTCAGTAGGCCAACTTGGAAAATTATGGCCTGCTGCCTGTCTTGTGTAATCTATATGCCAAGAATGGTTTTTATATTTATACTAATGATTGACCAAAAAACCCCAAATAAGTTATATTTCATGATACATGAAATTTAAGTTTTAGTCTACATAGAAAAAAACCTTAGAACATAGCCACACTCATTTATTTATATACTGTGTATGCCTGCCTTTGTGCTGTCAGCAGCAGAGTTGAGGAGCTCCAACAGAGACTATCTGTGGTGTTCCTCTCACTTTGTACTGTTGCTCAGTGCGGGACGAAGAGCAGTAACTCCGATCCACTTCACTGAGTTTTTACTGCTGTGGACATCCTTGTTTATGATATTTTATACTTTTTAAAAATATATTTTAATACCTGTCTTGTCAACTAGAAAAGTAGCTATCTAGTATGATGCTACCATTGAGCCTAGATTATTTTTGAATTGCTGACAAAGTACCATACTGTATTTACTGTGTGGTGACACTAAAGCTGAGCTACAAGACTGCAGTCTATTAACATTGCCAGATTAATCTCTCATCTTAGTATTTCTAACTCACAGGAAGGCAAGAGCCAGAAAAGTTAAAATTTAAAGTGGCATATCATTACAGTAGAATTTCTTCCCAAAAAATAAAAAGCTGAAGCCAGGCATGATATCACATGCCTTGTGAGTCAAGTACTTGGGAGGCGGAGGCAGAGAACTGTGAGCCCTGACCAGCCTGGACTGCATAGTAAGTTCAAATCTAGCCTAGAGACTACATATATGGTATCCAGGCTTCAGATAGATAGATAGACAGACAGACAGACAGACAGGCAGACAGAGGCTCATTTGTTTGCCAAGCAAGGAAAGCTGTTTTCCAGTGGTGAGTTAATTAAGTCATGTTTAGCTAGACTTTCTGAGGAAATGTGTCTAGGACTAACAGTCTTTAGAGGAGACCAGTTTGATAAGTTGAGACATTGGGAATAACAATAGTTTATTTAAAATAAGGCAAGTGTGAGGTCATGAGTTCGATTCCTGGTACTGGAAAAAAAACCAAAAAAATAAAAAATAAAAGAAATTCTACTGTAATGACTCACTAGGTAGCCCAGGCTGGCCTTGAACTCAAGATGATCCTCCTGTCTCAGCCTCCCAAGTGCTGGGATTACAGGCGTGCACCACTATGCCCAGCTTACCCAATTTTTAATCAGATTGTAATGCAAATTTCTTATAACTTGATACTTTTGCTAGTAGAGCATATTTTACATAAAGAGAATAGTTATGGTAATCTAAACTATCTGAAGAATATGTTGATTTAAATTTATTTTCTGATTCTTACAGGGCTGTTTAGAAACCAAAAAATATTGAGAGAATACAGAGATTTCTTGGGAAACACCAAAGTAAGTATATCTTTCTAATAGCATATTGTTGCACAGCAAAATCCTAATACCAGTCCACAGCGAAATTCTAACATGTTTGTGACAGTAATCCAAGATTTTATTGAGTACATTGTAATGTACTGAATTAGCATCAGTTTGTTTTTGATTTTACTAAAATTGTAATGTTTTTAAGCGTATAAATATAAACAAAATAGATTTTGTATTCTTAGGTTTTAGCAAGATTTCTGTCTCACCTACACTCTCACTTTCATTTGTCCTTTCTCCAGTCCTAACCCTGGCTAAGCATTCAGACTGCCAGCTCTCTGCTTTTCTTTAGAAGCTCGGTCTTTGGAGGAGAAAATTATACAGCCAGTGTGATGGTTCTTTCTTTCTCTTGACTGTGCAAAATCAGTGGACACTCAGTATGACTTGACAGTCTTACCTTCCACTCACTGTGTGGAATAACTATTGCATATCTCTCTCTTCTCAGACTTTGTACTCTCTCACTCACTCTTGAACTGTTGAGCTTATTTCCTACTCCATTGAAAGAATAAATGTATAGATGATCTCTGACCTAAAATGATTTGATTTACAGTGTATGGAACTGGACTTTGATCCCTTGACATCACCAGAATGGCTGTTAAGAAGGTGACCAATATCTCCAAGATACTAACCGTCTGGGGCTAAAATTGACCTCCTATTTAAATTTAGCCGGAAAAGATCTCACGTCAAGAAGTTAATGCCAGATCTGAGGAAAAGGCTATCCATGTACCTAATCGTCCTCTGTCTGGATGCCATTTGAGACATTGCTCTCTTTTTACAAAGTTTAGAGTTTGGCAACAGTGACAACTTTATTAAATCTTATTTGGTATGCTTTTCTTTCCTATTCTTTTAATTCAAGGTTTGTTCATTTTTATTTCCCCTTTGAGCCCTGTCTTTCTGGCACTGCAGTGCTAGACTGAAAGTATGAACTTTCCTCTGTGGTAGAGCCTTCATGTGGCTAGGAGCCTACACTGGCACTCTAGTGCTGCAAGGGCTGCTGCCCCTGCCTCTTGCAGGGAGTAACTTAGGCCAGGGACACCTGCCGCTCTTGGGAAGTGATTCCTTGTCCTTGTATCAGTTTCACATGGGCAATCATCCTCCCCATATTTTTTAGAAGTAGCTGTTGACTTGTAAAGTCTGTGTCACTAGAACCCTTTTGAAGACTTAGTACTCCTTAGCTTTTGAATATTCCAGGTTTTGAATAGAACGTCTCTCTGTTATCCCCCCTCTCCATTTTGTGTAATAGTTGGGTAGAATCAGTATTTCATTTTCCTTTGTGGTTTCCCTTTTCCCTTTAAGAATGCTTTTATACTGAAGGCAGTTGCTTCTCTAAAACATACAAGGGCTAGTGTCATTTGCTGAAATTAAATGTATCCTTCGCTTTTTCTTATTTCTAAACCAGACACTTTTTCCATTGTATTCTTCTGCGTCATAGACTTTGCGGTAGTGATACAGAAGTCACAGTGTCCTGGCTCTGCCAAAAGCATTTTGTCATCAGAGCAGTAGCTAACCTCCAATAATATAATTTCACATTGTCCTTTTAATACATTTTCCCTTTAAACTATTCTAGTTTGTTGTGCCTTCCCTTAGGATCTACCTATTCTGTTTTCCAACAGATTTAGTATTTCTGTTTTTATGTTTTGATTTTTGATCCATTTCAATTTTAATTTAGTACATAGAGATAGGGCTCTATGTTTAATCTTTGGCATGTGAAAAGCCAGTTTTCCCAGCACCAGTTATTAAAGAGGCTATCTTTCTTCCAGTGAAAGTGTCTGGCTCCTTTGTCAAAGATACACGGTGGCTGAGTGTGTATGGAGTTGTTTCTGCATCTTACCTGTTTTTTTGTTTTTGTTTTTGTTTTGTTTTGTTTTAAAGAATAAAAGAAGGATAACATAATAATAGGGGGGCTTACCAAATTACAGACAAAGTGGTAGGAAATTATCAATGGTTATTGTTTTGCATATTGTTATCTACAAGATAGTTTCTCAGGAAAACAAATAGACAAATGATAGTGAGTTACAGACAAAAGAGGTAGGAGATTATCAATAATTGTTGTACTATACTTAGGTATCTTCAAAGTGGCTTCTGAAGAAAATAGAGCTATACATGAGTGACCTATTGAATAATCATTAACTATTCTCAATGGTTGTTGTAGGAAACACATAATAATAAGCATGCATCCATTTATGAAATAGGATAGGAACAATACAAACATTACAGAGTTATGGATAGATTAGTAGGAAAATATCAAGGGCTGCTATAATACAGAGTGGTATCTTCAAAGTGGTTTCTCAGGAAGACAGAGATACACAAGAAGGATCTAACAAGTAGTTACAGCCTAAGGGTTGTCAAAAATAGCGTACTACCTCCTCACCAATGACTCCTTTCACTGAGTCTGCATCTTATCTGTTTCGCTGATCCTTGGGTCGTTTTTTTTTGGCAGTACCATACTGTAGCTTTGTAGATAATTTCAAGTCAGGGATTGTGATGCCTCCTGCCTTGCCTTTGTTGTCTAGAATTGCTTTTGCTATTCTAGGTCTCTTTGTTTGCAAATGAATTTTAGGATTCTCTAATTCTGTGAGGTATGATAATGGTATTTTGATTGGGATTGCATTAAATCTGTATAAAAGTTTTGAAAGTATGGCCATTTTCACTCTATTGGTTCTTCCTACCCAAGAGCAAGGGATATCTTGTGGATATCCTCTTTGATCTCCTTTTTCAGAGTATTGTAGTTTTCAATGTAAAGGTCTTTTACTTCCTTCGTTATATTGATTGCTAAGTATTTCTTATTTTTTTGGATGCTATTATGAAAGGTATGATTTCCCTAATTTCTTTATCAGTGAGTTTGTTATTTGTGTCCAGGAATGCTATTGATTTTTGAATGCTGACTTTGTATCCAGCTATGCTACTAAATTTGGTTATTAAATCTGTAAGTCTTTCTGAGGAGCTTTTGGGGTCTTCTATGTAGAGTATCATGTCGTCTGTGAGTAATGATAATTTAACTTCTTCCTGTCCTATCGTTAATACTTTTATTTCTTTTTCTTGTCTAATTGCTCTGGCTAATGTTTCCAGAACTATAATGAAGTGGTGATAGTGGACATCCTTGTCTTACTCCTGATTTTAAAGTGAAGGTTTTCAGTTTTGACCATTTAGTGTGATGCTAGTTGTTGGTTTGTCATAGATGGCTTTTTATCAGGTTGAGATAAAGACCATCTATTGCAGTTTTCTGTAGGTTGTTTTTTTGATCGTGAATGGGATCATGAATGGGTGTTGGACTTTATCAAATGCTTTTTCTGCGTCTATTCAGATGATCATGTGGTTATGTCCTTGGTTCTATTGAGAAGGTGTATTACATTTATTGATTTGTGTATGTTGAACCATCCCTGCATCCCTAAGATGAATCCTCCTTGATCATGGTGTATAATCTTCTTGATAATTTTCTGTACTCTGTTTGCCAGTATCTTAATGAGGATTTTTGCATTTATCTTCGTTAGGGAGATCGGCCTGTAGTTCTCTTTCTTAGTTAGGTCATTCTTCAGTTTTGTTATGAGTGTAATGCTTGCTTCCAGGAATGAATTTGGGAGTATTGCTTTTTTTTTTTTTAATTTTTTAAATTTTTATTTATTTATTTATTTATTTTTTAATTTTAGAAATAAAAGGAGGAAAATATTAACAGACTGACAACATTTTACAAAATAGCATAGGATCAGTACAGACATTACAGAGTTACAAACAGAGTGGTAGGGAATTAACATTTTTTTTTATTTTAAAGAGTATAAGAAGGATAACAATATAGGGGGGGCTTACCAAATTACAGACAAAGTGGTAGGAAATTATCAGTGGTTGTTGTTTTACGTATTGTTATCTACAAGATAGTTTCTCAGGAAAACAAATAGACAAATGATAGTGAGTTACAGACAAAAGAGGTAGGAGATTATCAATAGTTGTTATACTATACTTAGGTATCTTCAAAGTGGCTTTTAAAGAATATAAATAGAACTATACATGAGTGACCTACTGAATAATCATTCAATAATTCTCAGTGGTTGTTGTAGGAAACACATAATAAACATGGATCCATTTATGAAATAGGATAGGAACAATACAAACATTACAGAGTTATGGATAGATTAGTAGGAAAATATCAATGACTGCTGTAATACATGGTGGTATCTTCAAAGTGGTTTCTCAGGAAGACAGATACACAAGAAGGATCTAACAAGTAGTTACAGCCTCAGGGTTGTCAAAAATCAAGTGAGCCATCTGGGGCAAAAGCCATCTTTTGTAGCGTTTTCTCTCTAGCCTCCCATCACATTGGGGCCCCACAACCAGTTAGTGTCCTCTCCCCAGCTGTCAGCACAGGCAGAAGGAATCCTGCTGCAGACTTCTCCAGAGCTCCACCACAGCCTGTACTGTCAGGGGAAGAATGGCTTCCAGTGTGTCTCTGCAGGTATTGTGCAAGGTCCTCCTGGTTTACAGCTTCCAAGCAGCTCTCGTGACCCCAGTCCACAGGACCTCTAACTCCGTGGGCTTAGTCTGCATTCTCGTGTTCTCTGAGTCCTGTTCAGCAGCTGCTTCTCCGCTGGCTCTGGACCTTTCTGGTTCTCAATGGCAGGAGCAAGAATGGCATGTTGTATGGCATGTATTCCCAGGGGTTGTTCAAAGTTTGAATGATTCACAAATGTCCGTGGGTGGGCATCTACAGCCGGTGCATGGTGGGCCAATTGTGTCACTGTTTCTCTGTGTCATGATAGATCTCAATTGAGCGGTGGTGGCCGGCCTAAGAGCCGGTGCGCAACAGCGCTCGCTGCCGCATGGCTCCCCATGCGCTGGGGGCCCTCCCTCTGGGGGCCTACGAGGCAGGAAGCTAGCCAGCCAGAAGACTGGCGCTCCCCACCCGTGGTTCCCTGTGCGCCGGAAACCCTCCCTCCAGGGGCCTACGAGGCAGGGAGTGAGCCACTGGTCCGAAGACCGGCGCTCCCCGCCCGAGGCTCCCCGTGCGCCGGGGGCCCTCCCTCCGGTGGGAGTATTGCTTCCCTTTGAATTTCATTACAGAGTTTGAGAAGTAACAGCATTAGGTCTTCTCTAAATTTCTTGGAGAATTCAACAGTTAGTCTCAGGACTTGAGCTTCTCTTTCTTGGTAGGTTTTTAATTACATCTTAAATTTCATTGACTGATAATTTGGTTATTTAGAATTTTTATGTCTTCTTGTCTCAGCTTTGGTAATTCATATGTACCTAGCAATCTGTCCATTTCTTCTATGTTTTTCATGTTATTAAAGTAGAGGTTCTCAAAGTAGGTATTCATCTTCTGCATTTCTGCAGGATCTGTTGTGATTTCACCCTTCATTCCTAGTTGCATAGATTTGAGTCTTCTAGGGGTTTGTCTACTTTATTTAATCTTTCAAAGAACAAACTCTTCAATTCATTGATTTTTTTTTTTTATTGTTTTCTTAGTCTCAGTTGCATTAATTCTGCTCTGATCTTTATAATTTCCTCCCTTGTATGTGCTTTGGGTTTAACTTGCTCTTATTTTTCCAGAAGCTTGAGGTTGTTTATTTGAGCTCACACTTTTTCTGATGTGGGACTTTACCACAATAAATTTCCCAGTGTTCTGCCCTACAACATCAGAATACACATTTTTCTCAGCTGCACACAATACTTTTTCCAAAATACACCCCATACTAGCTCATAAAACATGCATAAGTAAATGCAAGGGAGTTGAATTTTTTTTTACATCATGTTAGCAGACCATAGTGCAGTGAAACAGGAAATTGATGGCCAAAGAAACCACAAAAACTGTATAAATGCATGGAAATTAATACCTTCCTGAACAACTAGTGGGTCACAGATGAAATTAAAGAAGAAATTAGACAGTTTCTACAATTAAACAGTAATGCCAGTACAACATACTGGAACCTGGGGGATGCAATGAAAGCAGTCCTATGCGGGAAGTTCACCAGCATTTTTGCTGTTCTGATCTTTAAAAGGAGGCAGTTGTCTAACTGCTTTTATTATGGGACCTAAGAGCAGCTTTTACAGGATGCTTTCCAGGAGGGTTGTGGATTGTGATTCCTTGTGATTTATGTTTTCAGATTTTGATTTTCTTATTATATTTCCTTGGGCCTTGTCATTATTTCTGACGTAGTTCCAACACATTTTCCCTGATTCTGCAACCTTCTTTCTCAGCGCTACTTGAGTTTAGGTAATTTCTTTATTATAACATTCTACTCTGATTTTAAAAATCTTGTTTTCCTTCCTTCTCTGACTTGTCCCTTTTGTAATTTCTGAAACCCTTTTTTTAATGAAATCTTTATCTTCTACCCTAAACAAACATTTTTTTCACACACACACACACACACACACACACACACACACACACACACACACACACACACACACACACCAGCCCCTGCTGATGATACTGAGGATCAAACCAGGTCCTCACACATTAGGCAGGTGCTCTACCACTGAGCTGTATCCCCAGACTTTATGTTTTGTAACAGGGTCTGGCGCTCTACCACTGAGCTGTATCCCCAGACTATATTTTGTGACAGGGTCTTCCTAAATTGCCCATGCTGGCCTCAAATTCGTGATTCACCCTAGTCAGTGTCTTGAGTTGCTGGGGTTATGAGTGTGTGCATCACTCTGGCTTGTATTCATTGTTTACGGTTCCCTACTTTACTCAACCAAAGGATATTCTCATTAAAATAAAACATACATGCTCTGTATTGTCAATGAAGAGTGAAAGTCAGAAATACAGATTCTGATGAGAGTTTGTAGCTTACAAATCTAACTGCAAGTTGAAGCCATGTAGAAAAGATTTGGTCCTGCATAATTCCTTCTCTTAGCCTTGAAGGCACTTCAGTAGAGAGCTGGGGCACTTGTCTTCATGCAACTTTTCAAAATGTGACCTTTAAAGCTAATGATTCACTTTTTGCTCCGTTGTCCATAGGGAATTAATGACGTATTCTTTAAAACCCTAAATTGCAGAACTGGCTGTAAATCACTATTGAAGTACAAAAAAAAGCCAAAAAGAATCTGTTTTGCTCTTCTGAGGTGTGAAGTGTAATCTCATCTCAGCTTTCTTTGCAATATCAGGCCAAGTTGCCTATTACAGAATTGAAATTTAAGTTAAATTTGTCTGTGAGGCCCCTGTGTCTTAGTTACTTTTCTCTCATTGCTGAGACAAAATACCCAACCCCTACAAGGTAAGGGAGGAGGGGTTTATTTAGCTGAATCCTTGTAGCAGTTTCAGTCCATAATCGGCTGGCTCCAAGTTAGGGTGGCTTTGTAGAGGAGTACAGTTCATGGTGGGCAGACTGTAGCAAAGCAACAAGAGAGGGAAAAAGACAAGCCTCTTTCTCTCCCTTATCCAGGCTACTGGGATTCGGGGGATGCCAAACGAATCAGTGTACTGATTTAGTAGCCCTACCCTTAATCCTAGCATTGCACCATGAATCCTGCACACACTCTGCATCTAGTCACCTCTGAAAAAGCCCCACCTATGACTGCATGAGGCTTTGTAGGGGCAAATAGATAAGCAAGCCACAACACCCTACTTTCATTGAGGTCCGTTACTGCTGTTCCAGACCTCTCATGGCCTACCTACGAGAGCAAAGTTGAGGAAGCTGTGTTAACTTAGCAAGAACCAAGTCTTTATCGTCTCTTATGTGGAATATCCTAATTAATCTCATCACCTTTTGCTTTTTCTTGATGTCATAAAGTATATCTTTTTTAAACAAATAAGATTATGTCAAGTCTCTTAAAATTGTCCAGTGGCTTCTTTTTTGCCATTAGAATAACATTTAAACTTTTTTCTGTAATCTGCAAGATCTTGTAGAATATAGCCCCTGCCTATCTGCCTGGGTTCAACTCCTGTCATTTTCCTTGTTCACTACTTTAACCACACCAGCCTTTTTGCCCTTTAAAAAACCAAGCTTATTTCTATCGCAGTCTTTGAACTTGCTCCATATTCTGCCTCAAATATTTTTCTTCTAGATCGTTTCATGATTGTCTGGGTCCCACTGAATCTCTTTCCCTGACTACAGTAGCTGAAATAACTCTCCCCATCCCTACCACTAACCCCGATTTTTCTCTCATACTCTGCTCTTTTGTTTTCTTTATTATATTCATCACTATCTGACGTTAGGCATTTGTTTATGGATTTTTTTTGTCCTATTAGACTAGAACATGAGATCTGTGAAGGCAAGGGCTCCATCTTACTCACTTTCATACCCGAACATCTAGAACTACGCCAGGAATATAGTATTTGCAGAATAAACATTTCCTGAATAAATGATATGACAGAATAGAAAAATAATAGAGATGTAAAATGTAATAATTTGTAGCAGAGTATTTATTTCTGTGTAGGAGAAGGCTTTATGTAGAAAAGTAACACCTGCCAGGCATGGTGGCACATGCCTGTAATCCCAGCACTCGGGAGGCTGAGGCAGGAGGATCGCTGAGTTTGAGGCCAGCCTGGGCTACAAAGTGAGTTCAAGGCCAGCCTGAACTGCATAACGAAACCCTGTCTCAAAAAGACAAGAGGAAAGAAAGAGAAGGAAGGAAGGAAGGAAGGAAGGAAGGAAGGAAGGAAGGAAGGAAGGAAGGAAAGAAGGAAGCAAGAGGTAACCCTTAGACATGGAAGAGAATGGTTAAAACTTAGGTTGTGCTAGAAGTTGATAGCATTTCAGGAGAGGAAAAATAGAATATATTCAAGGAATAGCAAAAGATAATTTAGCTCAGGAAAATATTTCCTCTGAGTATTTCTGTACTGGTTTTGTTCCCTTTATTTTGGTCTGTTTTGCAGTTAAACATGATACTTTCACTTAAGGTTTTCTGTCGATGTTAAATTCAAGTAATAAATTTGTTGGCTTTGGCTGTTGCTTTTTGAAAAGCAAGGAGTTGCTCAAGAAATGGAAAATTTTTAGCATATATGGATTTCAGGTCAATATATTTGTATTAGTTTATTATCAGTTTCTGTGTAGACAACTGCAATTGTTTCTTGAAGTCTGCAGGATGTGAATTACAAGGAAACAAATTAAACAAGGTTCTGGAGAAGTACTCAAATTCATTTGCAATTTTAACCTCTTTGCTTTTTAAAGAACTTTTTAGAGAAAAGGAATTAATACGTAAACCTAATTGTTCAGAGGTTTTGATAGAGGAGAAATTTCCTGGCATGCCAGAGGCGCTTATTATAGTGAGTCTCTGGGATAATTTATTTATTTTTTTGTTTGTTTCATTTTTGCAGCCACGTTCCAGAACAGCATCAGTTTTCTTCAAGGGACCAGGAAAAGTGGTAATGGTTGCCATTTGCATGTATGTATTAAAAAATAAACTTTAAAAAATAGAAATATATGCTTTTTAATGTGTATAGCCTTGAATATGTAAATTTACTGCATGGTAGCTAGCTACAGAATTGCAGGTTTATGTTGTTTTAGGAGGCAGTTGGGAAGTGTATTACTGTCAATAACGTGATAGGAAGAGTCCAAGTGAATACAAGCATTTATCCTTGTACTCTATTCTTGATGTAGTTAATATTGAAGTTGCTAATGAAAATCCTCTCATTTTCACTGGAGTGGTAAAACTCCAGACTTGAACGCAGGCCCTCTCACATGCTAAGGGAGATGGTACTGGATTGAACCCAGGGCCTTTGCACTGAGGCACGCCCCATTTTTAGTTCAAGACAGGGTCTGGCTAAATTCCTGTCTAAGCTTAAGGTTACCATCCCCTGACTCAGTCTCCCAGTATGTGTGGAATTATAGGCTTATGCCACCATGCCTGGCAATGTTTTGAAGAATGTAATAAGAAGGGATGGTTGGTGGTAGTGATAAGTAGTCTAATAGGGTATTGAAGGCAGAAGGTGTTGTTTGCTGGATAGAAGAGTTAGTACAAAGTGAAGAAAATTGAGAATACGAGATGACTTTTTAAGGAATTACTGCAGTAGGGAGAGAAAAGGGTAGCTGCAAGGGGATAATTTCCTTATCCATAGAAGGGGTGTTAATATTGGGTAAGAGCTATACTGTAACACGGCAAGTGACCAGCATACCACCTGAGATCTGTCATGCTGGTCAGTACTGTCCAGCTTTCTCTGAGCTAACCACATTTATTTTAGTCTTTGGGTAAGACAGTGTACCTGTTTGGTCTAGGTTTGCTTTCAGCTCTGGCATCTGCCTAGTTAAGCAAACGAACCTGCGCTGAAGTCTGCCTTTGACACTCCTGTCCTGGACAGGACAAGATCTTTTTTTGCCTACTTCAGTTTTAGATTTTCCTTTTAGATCATCTTATCTAAATGTAGAACACCCTCTTTTCTCACTCATGAGACATTATAATCTATACTTTCCTAATTTGTACTCCTGTTACCTGAACAGTATTAAGTTCTTCTTAATTTGCCTTTAATAGGATCGAGCAGTATGTAAAATCAGTTAAATAAGTTTTTGTTGGAAAATTTTAGTCCAAACATATGCTAAATGATTGTTTTTTCTTTCACAGCAATGGTTTAAACTGCTTCTTTAAATTTCTTGCATGGATTTATACGGGTTCAGCAAGTATGTTCTCAGAAGCTATACACTCATTGTCTGATACCTGCAATCAGGTGAGAAGTTATAGCTTTTTAAAATTAATTTTAGGGGCTGGGGATTTAGCTCAGCGGCAAAAGCGCCTGCCTGGCAAGCGCAAGGTCGTGAGTTCAGTTCCCGGTGCCAGAGAAAAACCAAAAAAAAAAAAAAATTAATTTTAGGGCCAGGGATATATAGGTCAGTGGCACAACACCTGCCTGGCAAGTGCAAGGTCCTGAGTTCGATTCCTGGTACCCCCCCAATAAATAATAATAATAATTTTAAAGTAATTATTTTAGGCTTTAGTCTAAAAGTTGGTTTATTTAAAAAGTGAAAGAAAACTGGGTGTGATGTTACATGTGTGTAATCCCAGTACTTGGAAAGCTGAAGAACTGAGTTTGTAGCCAAGTTCAAGGCCAGCCTAGACTACATAGCAAGATCCTATCTTGAAACAACAAAAAAACTAAATGAGTGTGGCTTATGGAAGAAAATGTAAGGAACATGTAAGTTGTTTTACTTTTGAGTAATGGATACGGTTGGCCTTCTATATCTGGGAGTTTTAGATCTATGAGTTCAGTATCCTCAGGTTTCATCAATTTTGGATTGAAGATTCTCAGAAAAAAGTTTGTGTCTCTACTGGATGTGTATAGACTTCCCTTGTTATTGTTCCTTAACAATACAGCTTACCAGTTACATATATATAACATTTACATTGTATTAGCCATGATAAGGAATATAGAGGTGTTTTAAAATATGAAAGAATATTTGTAAATTATGCAGATACTGCACTGCTTTACATAAGAGACTAGAGCATCCAAGGATTTTAATGTTCTTGAGGGCTTCTGGAATTAATCCCCCAATAACAGTAGGGATCATAGTATTTTAAAGCAGGTTGTTATTCTTAAGAGCTTACAATAATGGAATATGAAGTATAAGCTTACCAGTTGCTAAGTATTTAGTTATAAACTTTTTAGACAAGATACTTAAATTGAGTTGAAAATTCAAGGTTTTTTTAAAAAAAATGAAGATAGAAAATGATGTGATTGTTTAAAACACTTCCATGTGAGATTAATTGAATTACTTTCCTTGAGTTTGCAAATGAAGAAAATTTTTTTCAAAATTAAAATATATCTTAAACTACCTTTAGTCCAAATTGTAAATACTAGCAACCCAAGCCTTATAAAAGAATACATTGTATATTTTTAAAAAGTATAGCATATATTAAGAGAATAGCTTTTCATTATTTACTTATACCTCAGTTATGTTGAAACAGATTTGGGAGAATACACATTATAGGGATATTTAGGTCTAGGTCTGTAGCTCAGTGGTAGAATGCTTGACTAGCATGTGGAAGGGTCCTGTCCTTGATTTCTAGGACTGCCAAAAAAAAATTTTTTTTTTTTTTTTTTTTTGGTTTTGTTTTTTTCCGGTACCAGGAATCAAACTCACAACCTCATGCTTGCCAGGCAGGCGCTGTGCCGCTGAGCTAAATCCTCAGCACCCCCCAAAAAATTTAAATAAAAAAATTTAAGACAACGTTGAAAGTAATAAAATGGTAAGGAACAAGGAGAATAATATTAATTAAAAATTAAACCTGAGAATTCATCTAAGTCTTTTGTCTAATGGATTAAAACCTTTTGTAAAAGTAAGAAGATAAGCATTTGCCATTAGTACTAAGAATATTTACCTTGAATTTAATTTTTATACTCAACAATATTTATCTCTGTAACATTTTAGCAGCCAGTCATGGTATCTGAAGTAGGAGGAGAAAGAATGAGGAGAGACACATAAACATAATGTCTGCTTTCTCAAAGGTTATCCAAAGACAGGAAAATTGAGATGCAGAAGTCTTTGTACATATGGCCAAGGAAAGGTATAAGCGTACTAATTTAAACAGTGTTATTTAAAACATCGAAGATGACGTTTAAGTTTCCATTCTCTGAAATACTATTCATGCATTTAAAAGGATGTGGTACAGAGCCATGAATTGGAATAATAACCATGATAAATTGGGTAAAAAGTCAGGTTCTAATTCTTTCAGTCATGATGGACTAAATTTAGTCTTTGGCTGTGTAAACAACTGAAATAATCTAAATAGACTATGAAATAACTTCAAACACTGAACAACAGCAGCATAAGGGCATGATCCCTGAGAGATGGGAAATGACATATTTGATTTCTGTGATCTCTGACCTTTTGCTTGGAAACACATTTGAAATAGTGGAGCCAGATGGAAATTAGCAGTCTTGTTGGGTTGAAAAGACAAAAATCACAGTTTAGAGAGTCTGAAAGTGGCTAAAAATTACCAAGCAGCATTCCATAGAGGAAGCTACAGAGATAAAAACCTAGAAGTCTGTGTAGGGATTTTCTTGAGTTGAGTCTTTGCTGAATGTTAAATTACACATGTGCAAGACTTGAACATTAGTTTAGGCAGATAACTACCAGGGAGGAATAAGCTGAGGGATTCTTAGAGCTCACACAGAGCTGGAGCACATTGAAATTCTGACCAGCTGCGATAAAAGAGTCTTCACTGATACTCAGGTCAACAGAAGGTTACCTTAGTAGTACAGCTAAATTATCTTAGCATGAAGACTATTCTAGAACTTTCCTAATAGACCTTGAAGCTCCAAAGGATCAAGTTGAGTAATTTACTTGCCAGAACAAAGCTCTGTATTCTTTAAAGAAGACAAAATCCAAACCCTCAGTTTAATATAAATTTATATTAGGCTATGAGGTGTAAGAATTGATAAAGACAAATGGAACAGAATAGAGGAGTTATCAAAGCTCTGTTTACATGGTTTCCTTTTTTTTTTTTTTTTTTTTTTTCTCCGGTACCGGGAACCGAACTCTCGACCTTGCGCTTGCCAGGCAGGCGCTTTTGCCGCTGAGCTAAATCCCCAGCCCCTACATGGTTTCCTTTTGACAGAGGTAACAAAGCAGTCCATTGGGGCAAACAGTCTTACTTTTTTTTAATAAGCACTGCTAGAAAAATTAGATATTCATATGGAAAAATTGAGGGGCTTAATCCCCACCTCTACTATATACAAATTTGTGGTGGCTTATAGATCCAAATGTGAAAAATAAAACTATAAAGATTCTAAATGAAAATCTAGGAATATACTTTTTAGATCTTTGGATAGGCACAGATTTCATGAATAAGAAACAAAAACACCATAAAAAGTTTGCAAATTAAACTTCATCAAAATTTGAAGCTTTTATAGCTGGGCATGGTGATGCATTTCTGTAATCCCAGCACTCGACTGAGCAGGAGGATCGCCAGGAGTTCAAGGCCAGCCTGGACTACCTCGTGAATTCAGGGCCAGTCTGAATTACATAGTGAGACCCTGTCTCAAAAAAGAAAAGAAAAGAAAAAAGGAAACAAAACTTGAAACTTTTGCTTATTAAAAAATACCTTTCACTGTGGGAAGCTGAGGCAGAAGAATTAAAAGTTTGCACCCAGCCTGGGCAACTTAGCGAATTAGTTAGACCCTGTCTCAGAAAAAAATAAACAAAAAACACCCTTAAGAAAGAGACATCCATAGACAAGAAGATAATAATCAAAAGGCATATATCTGACAATTGGTATACAAAGTAAAATCCTTCTACAATTTTTATTACAATTCTACATTACAACTCAGCTTTTTTTTTTTTTTGAGGTAAAAGATTTTAACAGGAATTTCATGAGTAAACATACATGAATGGTGACCAGTCAGCACATGAAGAAATGCTGAAACTATTAGTTTTCAGGAGGAAACATATATTAAAACCACAAGAAAACTCTATACATCTTCACAAAGAAAACTTTAATCTTTGATTTAAAGAAAATCATAGAAATGGTTGCTTATGATAAGGGATTGAAAAAAGGCACAAAGGAACTTTTTGGGGTGGTGTAAAGCTTCTGTCTTGATAGAAATATGTCGTGAGATGCATGCATTTGTATAACTCAAGGGTCTGTGTGTTTGGTGCCAGGTACGATAGCATATGCCTGTAATACCTGCACTCTGAGAGGCTGAAGCAGAAGAATCACAAATTGAAGTCTAGCCTGGGCAACTTACCAATTTAGTGAGACCCGTCTCAAAATTTAAAAAAGGGTGAGGGGATATAGCTCAATGGGAAGATCCGAGTTCAACTCCCAGTGCTGCAAAGTGACAACAACAAAAACCAACGAAGCTGTATATTCAGAATTGGTGCATTTCATTATATGTGAATTTTACCTCAAATAAAATTTTTCTGTGTGGAAATGTCCATTACTGATTTGGTATTAATAATAGGTTTAATGTTTTTAGTAGCATGAAAATAATTCTGTGGCTTTGTTTTCTGAAAGGCTTCATTTTTTTAAGATTAAAAGATAAAATGTTAGAATGCTTGGAATTTACTTCAAAGTACGTATCAAGGACTAGAGCTTGCTTGGATAAAACAGATTTGGTCATATATTTTAATTGTTGAGGTTCCATGATGAATGAGTTGAGTTTATTGAAATGGCCTATCAGGTTTTTTGAGCTGCTGTGTCTGCTCCTCTGTCTATGTGTTAGAAAATTCCCAGAAAGTGCAGAAGGACATTATGTGAATTGTGATCATATGTTTAAGCACACATACCACCTCTCTGAAATCTGGCACAGAAAGCATTAAAAACTGTATACATGTAAAAAAAAAAATAAAACTGTGTACAGACAGTCTGAATATACTCTAGATTCTTTTTTAAAATTTTTTATTTCAAAGAGAAAACAAATAATAACAAGACAAAAACAATAAAAATGATACACGATTTCAAAACAAGATGATACGAATTAACAATGGTTGTTATATTACGTATTGTTAGCTTCAACAGTTACTCAAGATTACCAGATGTAAGAATGCAAGATTGATCAAACAATTGGAGAGAATAAAAAGTAATAAAAAAACCATTAGAAATGATAACAGAACTTCACTAGACAAGATGGTAGGAATTCAACAATGGTTGTTATATTGCATATTGTTGTCTTAAAATTAGTTGTTCAGATTATCAGATAGAAGCAGGCAAAATTGGTCAAAAAAAAATTTAAGTATTAACGGTTCCTTTCAGTAAACCAATCAGCAGTGCAATTATCCCAGCTATCTTTGTATACACATACATATATATATTTTTCCCTTCTTTCTTTCTTTTCTCTTTTCCATCATCCCAGTTGTTCCTTTGTTTTGAGCAGTTTCTTTCCCTTTCACAATATCTATTGTACCTTTTGGGTTTTATTTACTCTTCCAGGTTCTTACACTAGGGAGACAGCACGATGTTTACACATGTGGATCTGATTTATTTCATTTATGAGTATGGTCTCTAGTTGCATCCGTTTACCTATAAAAGCCTCAAGTTTATCTATTTTTATAGCTGAGTAATACTCCATTGTATAAAAATACCACATCTTTTTTATCGATTCCTCCATTGATGGGCATTGGGTTGTTTCCAAGATTTAGCTATGACAAATTGCACTGCTGTAAACATGGGTGCACTTATATCACTGTGGTATGATGTTTTCAGTTTTTCTGGAAACATACCCAGAAGGGGAATAGCTGAATTAAGTGGGACCTCTAATCCTAGTTTTGTGAGGTATCTGCATATTAATTTCCACAATGGTTTCACTAGTCTGCACTCCCACCAGCAATGGAGAAGGGCTCCTTTTTCTCCACAGCCCCTCCAGCATTTGTTATTGGTTGATTTCTGAAGTGGGAATCTCAGTGTTGTTTTAATTTGCATCTCTCGAATGACCAGTGATGTTGAACATTTTTTCATGTATTTATGCACCATTTGTATTTCTTCATCTGAGAAGTGGATATTCCTCTCAGATGCCCTGTTTTTGGGTTAGGTCTTTGAATTTGGGAGGCCTGATTTTTTTTTTTAATTATTTATGTTCTAGATGAAAGTCCTTTGTCTGATGGACAGTTGGCTAAAATTTTTTCCCAATTTGTGAGTTTTCTTTTTATCCTGTTGGTGATTTCTTTTGATGTGCAAAATCTTTTCAGTAAGATGAGATTACTCTTGATTCTTGATCCATCCACTTTTCTGTATTGCTTAAATTTCTTTACAGTTTTTCTGTTAATTTTATAACAGAAAAACAAATGACTTTTTGTAAAGAATTTAACGCAATATTAAAGGTAAATAAAAGCTCAAGACTGGTGTCAGATACTTTGAGAACTTGTTTTTGTTGTACTGGGGATTGAACCCAGAACTTATCCCCAACCCTGTAACTTTTTAAATTTTATTTTACTGTTACATGTTTGCAGTACATGAAGTTTGCATTCATCTGAGGGAGTGGATACATGTATATAACATCTTGATTCTTCTTATTTTTATGTTTTATTTTAAGTCAGTGTCTTGCTAAGTTGTCCAGGCTGGGTCCAGACTTGCTGTCCTCTTGCCTTAGCCTTGCAGGGTACTGGAATTACAAGCATGTGTCACCACACTCAGCTGCTTTGAGAACTCTTGAGTGAAGAGTATGTCTCAGAGTGTTTTCTGCTTTTTTTTTTTTTTTGTCTTTTTGAGACAGGGTCTCGCTATGCAGTTCAGGCTGGCCTGGAGCTCACTTTGTAGCCCAGGCCTCCTGCCTCAGCCTCCCGAGTGCTGGGATTACAGGCCTGAGCCACCATGCCTGGCTGTCTCAGAGTTTTAAACAAGGCTTTGCTGGTGATTTTACCTGGGCCTCATGAAGTAGATGGAAATTGTAGTTGTGTGATTCTGAAAACTATTTCTCACAATCTATAACAATGTTTAATACTGACTCAAATGAATTTATCATGCACCTGGGTTTGCAGTGTATTGCGTGAGTGAAGACACAGTCCTTTCAGTGTCTTGTAAGCTGGTCCTACACACATAAAACAACTGGTAAGATGGTAAGGAAGTATGTAAGCAGCTGTGTGATCATGTGGTACAAAAGGAATGCCAGGAAAGGGAAGGTTTGATCGGGGAGCAGGGAGCATGAATAACGCTTCTTAGCCATTATATAGTAAATGCTCACTACTTTGCAAACCAAATAGGTGTTGGATAGGTTAAATATGCATTAACCTCTGTGTGTGTGTGTGTGTGTGTGTGTGGGTGTGTGTGTGCGCGCGCGCGCGCGTGTGTCCCTGTTACAACTGCAAGAAAGGGTCTGGCAGGATGCATATCAAACATGAGGGAGAACAAAATGAATGAGCAGTGATGTCTGATTTTTATAAGAATCAATAAATGTGATACATATTCAATTTATAAAATAATTGATGCTTTCCCAGACTTTGTTACACATCAAACCTGAATATTAAGGATTTTAGAAGTAATTGAATACTCATTCAGTATTTCATAAATACTGTGGACATATACATAATACATATTCACATATATACACAGAATATGAATTAATGACTTTTAGCGTATATGTTTAAGAGAAGGACATGTATCTTTTTATTTACTCTTGTTCTTTTAGTTTAATTTACTTAAAAGTCATCATCTGTGTTTTAGGTAGTTTACCCCCTTTCCTTTGGAGTCCAATACAAAAACAAAATCTTATAATATTCTACGTATTTAGTGCTGAATATCTAGAAGTTTTACCTGTGTGATTATGTGGTATCATGATAAATAAAAGGAAAATAAAGTCACATAGGGAATTAGTCAGAATCTGTATTCTTACTAGTTTTTTAAATAGATTTCTAAGTTCACATCAAACAAATGGAAAGGATTTACTAGAAGCAGGTATACTAATATTGAGAGGTTATAGTGGATAACTGTAGCAAAGGTTATAAGCTTTAGAAATTAAAGGAAAGATAAAGGCAAGTGAGGAAAAAAGGAAAGGGAAGGTGTGGGAATTTGACAACTAGGATTATACATGTTAGCTATTTACCATATTTGTTAGTTTTTTTAAAGAAATACAATCTTTTTGAGAGGACAGGAGTGTGCTGGCAGTCACTCCCAGGTCCTTACACATGCTAGACAAGCATTACACCACTGAACTGCGTCCCCAACTAAGCGATAAAATCTTAGTTATGACAAGTTCTTCTTTCTTCACTTCCCTTCACTTCACACATAATCACTGTACTTGATACATTGATATGTGTACTTCCTGCCGATGGTTTTGCAGTTTTATTAGAAATATATCCATCCACACAATTATACTGTTTAAATTTTTTAGTTTGTACAGCTATACAAGTTACTCTTGTAAAACATCAGATGACACAGACCACTGTAATCAAACTTCTTTCTTCAGTTATAAACACAGTTAAATGTGTTCTTTCAGACCTTCACATTACAGTTTGCAAAAATTACAAAATGGAAGTTGTTCTTATTGTATGTATAGTCCCTTGGTTTTTCAGTTTTATATAAACAGTGTTGTTTTGAACCCCTTTGAGTTCATCTTTATTTTTCTAAGTACTGGAAATGAGAATTTCTGGGCCATTGGACATATATTGTTAAGCATTTGTTATTATTAGCTTGCACGCTCCAAATGGGCTTAATCGTATTGTACTCTTCATGTTACTAATGATAACTTTTTCCTTCTTCTCCATAGGGTTTACTAGCAGTGGGCATCAGTAAATCTGTTCAAACACCAGATCCTACTCATCCGTAAGGATATTATTGCCTTTGTTTTTGTTTGTTTTAGCAACAAGTCATTGAAATAAAAGCAACTGAATTTCAGAAATCTCCTGCAATTTATATATCTGCAGTTTGTGAAAGATTTGGTCATTTTTTTTCACTGTAGTATCTAAAATGCAGGACTCATCGCTGTGTCAAAGTAAATTCAAGGTATAATTTGAAAATGGAGTTTAAGTTACTTTTATGCTTTGTCACACAGCATAGAGATCTTGTTTTATCCATACTGGATAATTAATAATAAAGCACATATTTGGTCTTAGAGTTTTTATTTTGGTTCACGGAAACGTGTTTCAGATTTAGACTAATGGATTATCAAAGCTAAAATTTTGGTGATAACTTTTATTAAATGTATACTTTAAGTCTTTTTATTGTGATTTAGAAATAATATCCTATTTAATTTCAAAATATGTATTTGTAAAGTAAATATACTTTTTGGAATATATAATTTTGAATCAAGTTAATTATTTGATAGTTTTTCCTATAGCTTCTACTAACAGCCATCTAAAATGTTTGAATTTACATGCAATATTAGTTTAACAAACCTCATTAGTAGAATTTGATCAATCTTAAGCAAAATGATACATTTTTACTTCTGTTAATGTGTTCATCTGTTTCTTTACTTGATAGCAAGGGCCTCCTGCTATAAATAAATATAAATATATTTTGAGTGTCCTGTAATTATCAGTAAGCTAATATTATAGGAAACATCTACTTCTCTAGTCTGATAATTGTGGATCATTAGTGTTTTACTATTCTAAGGAAAAAGTGGTTTTCCTAATCAGTTTTATCTACTAAAGATTTTAAATCAGAGGGTGAAATTTTTAAATTTTAGGTTGTAAAGATTTTTTTCTTAAGGTATTTTCAATAATCTACTTTAGTGATGCCCAATAGAATTTTCTTCAATAATGAAAATATTTTATAGTCACTGGCTACCTGTGGCTGTTGAGCAATGGAAACGTGGCTACTGTGGCTAAATTTTAAACTAGATTTAGTTTTCATTAATTTAAATGGATACATGTGGCTGATGACTTAGCATATTGGACAGTGCAGATCTACATGATAAAATTCTTTAATAACCTGCAAATTTCTTGAAAACATGTAAAATGAAAGTAATGACATATAATTCGATCTGCATTTACTTTAAATATGTATCATATTAATTTAGGTAAACTTTAGCAGAAAGTAAAATTTTCTAAATCATACTGATAAAACATTGTCATATATATAAATTGGGAATTCTCTATGCTGAGATTACATCTGTGCAAAAAAATTTGAAGAGCAATTTTGATTGAGCATTCTTATTTGAATTTGCATCTGTGCCAGACAGGTGCAGTAACATTTGGGAGTAAATTTCCCAAGAATTACTTTTATGAATGTGTAATATTTTTCTCTTACAGTATGTCATATTTTTTTGACTTGCTTAGTAATATTGTATTGGTACTTAAATTATAAAAATTTATGTACATTTCACCAGAGATGCTTGGAAAAATAGAGATTTTTTAAAAATTAGCCAGGAAAGCAGCCAGAAAACTGAAGCTCTCGGTTCTAGTAATAGTTTACAGTTGCTAGGTGCTAAACTATGTAGAACCAGCAATAAATTATATGTGCTACACTGCTGAGTATTAAGCATCAAGTTATAGGTATGATAAGTCATAGTTTGGCTATCTGACAGAACCAAAATATTCAATTAGAAGCTATAGTACAAGGAAACTTAAATGTTATATGTATTAAACACTTGAATGTATTTTTAAAAAGAGAAATTTTACTAGTGTATATGGAATGTAATAATAAAGTATCTTTTTAGGGTATATGGAAAAGAGATTAGAAAATACATGAATTAAATAATATTTGCTTTTCATAGACCTATTAAGCCATACTTTGAAAGGAAACTATTTTTATTTTTGCAAATTATAATTTTTTAATTTTTTAGGTATGGATTTTCAAATATGCGCTATATTTCTTCACTAATTAGCGGTGTTGGTATTTTTATGATGGGTGCAGGACTTTCTTGGTACCATGGAATTATGGGATTGCTTCATCCTGAGCCAATGGAATCCCTCCTATGGGTAATTCTTTTTTTTTTCACACTTTCCCTCAGTTTGGAAGTAGTATGACATAGTGATTGAGCACCATAGAATGCCTTTCTCAGAAGAGTATTGTGTTAGTCATCTTTTTATTTCTGGGACAATATTCCTGACATACAAAGCTTAAAAGAGGAAAGGTTTATTTTCATTCATGGTTTCAGTAAATGGTCAACTGGTCTCAAGATAGACCTAACAAGGAAAGCAGAAGGCAGCATTAAGCAAAGAGAGGGAAAGGGTCAGAAAGAGGGGAAGGGGCGGGAGAAGGATATACCTTTCAAAGGCATACCCCGAGTGACTACTGTCTCCAACTGGGCCCCATCTCTTACGGCCTGTTCAACTTTAAACTCATCAGTGGGTTAATCCATTAATGATATCAGTTCCCTGATGAACCAGTCATTTTCCAAAAGTCCTACCTGTTGACACATGAGATTTTGGTGAGGGGAGTCATTTTTTAATTTCAACCAAAAAACGAATTGAACAAGAGTGACAGACTTTGATTGTATACTATCAGGTTATGTATCTGTAGTTGTAGTTTTTAGAACATGACTGGACATAATCTCTGAATCCATATGTTTGGTGATATTGACCAGGAAGATCTGCAGGTATTATTATTAAGCCCACCTCTTTGGTTAAATTCCTGGGAAGTTCTGTTAAGTTCTTTAGATACTGCTGAATAAAAAGTCCCCTATTTAGTTTAGTTCCAAGAATAGTCAGTAATGAAAACACAGTATCCAGTTGCTTGTTGTAGTTGTCCAATTACTATTTGTAAATTGGAACTCCATTTAAATTTAAAGCATTTGCTTTGTGATCTGAAGCCTCCTTCATGTTGGAAGCCTGGTGGAAATGGGGAGAGGAAAGGAGGGTCACCTTCTGTGTTGCCCTGCCTGAAGCTTCTGTCCTTCTCTTCTATCCTAACACAGCGTCCAGCACTGGCACGGGGGCCAGAAAGTACTAGCATAGCATTCTCATTTTGTATTGGTTTCTCCTCTGGCCTTGTAGATGTTTAAAGTGGTCTTTTCCTTCTTTGGCCCTTTCTTGGAGATTACACTCCTTGGCCAGTCTGACTAGCTCCCTTGACAAGCGTAAACTCGTCCTACAGCACTCCCCCTCAGCTTGTGCAACTCATGGTGTAGTTCTGTACATACTTGACGTTGCCCCGTTTTGACCTCCTTACTTCTAGCTCTTCTAAAATGGTTTGCATGCAGTGTGCAGTGCAGTGGGTAGAAGCCCAGTCTGGGGCCACCACCTGTGCAAAGCCTGAATGTGTGCTCTGTCACCTCATGGGGAATGTGGGAGTAACTGAAACCTATTTTGTTGTCTATTTGGGGTCAACAAAACAGGGTCTTGCTATACAGTTCAGGCTGACCTTGGAACTCACTATGTAACTGAGGTTGGTCTTGAACTCACCACAGTCCTCCTGCCTTAGCCTCCTGAGGGCTGGGATTACAGTCATGTGCCACAATGCCTGGCTGAATCAAGTCGTGTTTTAACGTACTACTATGTTATACAAACAATATGAGTACAGGGCTATTAAAGTAGGCTTATATACGTTTGCTATTGATTAATTTCCTACAATTTGTATCGGTCAGTTTCTTACCATAATATATTTCATATAACTGAAATGAGTAAACCCATATTTCCTCCATTTTAAAGAGTTTGTCTACTTTGTAGATGCAGTACCTCACTGCCCTAGCAATCATCTAATTTGTAAAGAATCTTTAAAGAAACAGAGCAGTATCTGAAGTTAGAGATTAAATTTTCAGTTGTGTGTAGTTTTAATAGCTTTTGTGTCTCTGGGTATTGGAATAAGGTTCTGTTACATTATGGCCCTTTGATAAATAAATAATGGATTCAGCACACCATAAGCCAGTTTATGTTTTTCGGGTATTTGTTTTAGAATCCTTGGCTCTAATCTGTGCTTTCTGCTTTTGTTGGATAGTAAGTGTGTCTTAAATCAGGCATGAAGTGGAAGGATGTGGAGAGTTATTGGGAAGTTTAGCTTCTGTTTTAATTATATTAGCAGTAATTAATTTCAGGTCGGTAGTAAGATTCAGTGGAAAGAGCCTGGAGCCAAAACTGGGAAGCCTGCATTCCGGTTCTTTCTTTAGTCTTACTCTGTGCACTCGGTCACATCACTTAACCTGGAGACCTCACTTTCTAGAACAGAATCTTGAGTGTTACATTGGGTTTCATATTTTCAAACTTGTTTCAAGAAAACCTAGATTTTCATAAATGTGTGTTGAAAATTGTACAGATGTTTGGTTTGAATTTCATTAAAATTTTTAATGAATTTGTGTCACTAAGTTAACTTTTATTTATCTTGGACTGAAATTTCTTTTACTATCTTTAATTGAAGAGTGTCCTGTGACTAGAAGGAAGTGGTGATGCCAAAAGAAGTAATTGCTTACTGCTTATGACCACTTACCACTTTGAAGCAGGATTCTCTTCTTACTGAGAATCAGACAAAATCGAGAAATTACTTGGGGGTGGGTACGGAGCTTTATTGCATCTGGTGTCCTTAACCCAGATTTCAAACAGTTGTGCTCATATCTCATTGTCTTCTTTTGAACTGTTTCCCATCAAGGTCCTTATCCTATAGCTTGGATTTGAATTGTTTCTGTTTTTGGATATTATAAATTTTATACATGGATAATTATTCTTCAGTGAAATACTTAAATTATTCTGTATTTTAATTTATTTTCTAGGCATATTGTATTTTAGCAGGATCATTGGTGTCTGAAGGAGGTATGTATTATCTCAAAGTACGCTTTCTTCTCAATTTAGGGATATTCAGCAGTTGATTATTATAGTTTTACTAAGTTCATTTGATGAATGAAACTGTGATAGGAATATAAGCTTTGTCTACTTTTAGGAAGAAAGTTTTTGTGTAACGTACTGTGGTTGTCCTGTAATAGATGAAGGAGGAGAAAGGTGTTTTATTCTGACTGTCATATAATGCTCAGTACATTGGAAATGGAGTATAATAAAAACAACTATATTGAGTTTTTAAAAATCAGGTTTTAGTAGTATTCATGAAGAGTGGAGGCTGTCTTGTTTTGCCATAAGACTACTTGAGAATTTCTGAAATATATAGCTTTGACACTGTTATGACAGTATCAAACAAAACTGCCTAATTTTTTGCTGTACACATAGTATATTTACCCTGAAACATTGTCATGTCCTAGGAGTCATACAGCCTTCACCTATTTCTAAAATTAATATGATTTTAATTGGCAGATCATAATTGTATATGTTTCCATGCCCTTCCTTTTTGATAGACTGTATAATAGTGATAGCACAACCTCAAAAGGTTGAGAGGATCAAAAGTGATTGTGCTGAGTATGATGCCTTCCAAATAGTAGTTGTTCAATAAATTAAGATTGTTATTAGTATAATTTTATTTAATGGCTATGGTTTGGAAATAGGATATTCATTTTATTATGATTAATTGGAGTCTTAATAATGACTAGAACTTTTCCTTATTTCTAACACGGCATTAAAGTATTATGTGTTTATCGTTGGAGATCCCATCTTATAGTTCGGGAGTATGAAATTTCTTTCTTGCTGATATGAATACTTTTCTTTCAGCAACGCTTCTTGTTGCCATAAATGAACTTCGTAGGAGTGCTCGGGCCAAAGGAATGTCATTTTATAAGTATGGTATGTTTCTAGTAGAAGCCAGATTAATTTCTCTTCTTTTATTTATTTAAAATAACTTCATACTGTTGCTGTATTCTTAATAGAGGGATGCAAAATATGTATCTTAGTATCTTCCCTGTGTGTCTTTTATGAAGAACATAGCACTTTTTAAAAGTGCTATGAGCATGTGGATACTTTCTATTTGGATTTGACTAAGCGAACTACTGTATTTCTGTGTATGATTATAGAATTTGAAAAAGTAATTTGACATTTAAGCTAAGAAACTATGTTTATCTTGAATAGGGTTTTAAAAATTGTGATCTGTCCTACATTTTTGTTTAAATTTCTAGTTTAGTTTTAATTGGATAATTACGAAAATATCCTGTAATGGTGTCAAGTTAACATTTCAGATTTTTTTTTTCTCCTTCTCCCTCATGATTAAGTAATGGAAAGTCGTGATCCTAGTACCAATGTTATATTATTGGAGGATACTGCAGCAGTCTTGGGAGTGACAATAGCGGCTACTTGCATGGGCCTTACTTCTCTAACAGGTAAATTTTTCTTAAAGGTGATTTATTATGTTACATAATTCTCTAATATATAGGAATTTTGTTCTTATATCATTGAATAATTTTAAACCAACAGATTATTAAGTATTCCATAGTAATCATTTATTTGTGTGAAATATTTGCTTAGTAAAAACATTAGATTTTCTCTTGAATTAGAAATTTCTCTACATTAGTGCTGGACATGGTAGCATATGCCTGTAATTCTAGCACTTGGGAGGCTGAGGCAAGAGGATCGCCACATTTTGAGGCCAGCCTGGGCTATATAGTGAGTTCAAGGCTAGCCTGGAACACATGGCAAGGCCCTATCTCAAAAAACAAAAACAATAACAAAACCCACAAAAAGGAAAAGAAATTTCTCTCCATTAGAAGTAAGTAAAGGTATTGGTAGGAGATTTCTATAACACTCTAAACTTCCTAGCTATGACTTAAATTTTGTTTTGGAATTATTATGCTTCCATTCTCCATTTGATTTTGCATATTTAAAATAATTTCAGATAATAAACTTCCACAGTTCTGCAATGTTTCTTTAGATAGTTTGAACTACAAATTGTTCTTTCTCATCTTGTATGTCCATTTTAAGACTAGTGCAGCATTCTCCAGTGTAGAATGCTGTGATTGTTTTTCTATAGACTTTTTGGACACAAGTCTTCTTTTAATTTGGCTCGCTAAAGAGGGGTTTTTAATTCTGAATTGCAAACCTAGTAATGGATAATGCTTCACAGGTGGATCAGATAATAGAGATAAATGAGTTTACTTTTTAGTAGTATTTTTTGTTTTTTGTTTTTATAGTACTGGTTTTGAACATAAGGCCTTCAACCTAATCCATGTCTCCAGCCTTTTAAAAATGTTTATGAGACAAGATCTTGCTAAGTTGCTGTTACCTAGGCTGAGCTGGAGTTTGTGATCCTCTTGCCTCAGCCCCCACAGTGCTGAGACTATAGGCATGTGCCACCATATCTGACTTAGTGTTATATTTTGATTATACATTAATTAAATTAACATATAAATTGAGATTTTTAGCAAAATAAATATTTTATCAAGCATTAAAATAGTTTATATAGTATTAATGACATTTCATTTTTGAAATAAAAAGATTTATCATAAAAGCGATATGTACAAAACTTACAGATTTAAAATGTGATATATAAATGTCTGTAGTATAAATATTACCTGTACCCTCATAGATAGTATATCAGTCTTTGTCATTGTTTCTGAGAATACAGTAAGCCCCAACAACCTAAGGCACATTTTAAAAGCAGAATCACCTGGAGGACTTGGTGAAACACTTAACAGTGAGCCTCACCTTCAGAATTTCTGATTCAGAAGTTCTGGGGTAAAGCCTGAGAATTTGTGTTTGTACCACATTCTCAGGTGATACTGATGCTGCTGGTCCAGAAGCCACATTTATGAACTACTACCTTCCGGCATTCATTTCATGTGATGAATTCACTTCTCTGCTTTGTATCTAGAATTGGTAACTAGTTAGATATCATCCTTGGTCCAGTGAGAAGAGTCAGCCATATCATTTTCTGTAGAGTTTAATTCTATTACAGGATGTTGGTGGTAATGTCACAAAAAAGTGTTCGGGTTTTTATTTCACAGTTATTCTGCCAGTCTGGAGTAGAAAATTGCTACTGACATATCTAAAATAAATTGATTCTTTTTTTTGTTTGTTTGTTTGTTTGTTTGTTTTTTCTCCGGTACCGGGAACCGAACTCACGACCTTGCGCTTGCCAGGCAGGCGCTTTGCCGCTGAGCTAAATCCCCAGCCCCTAAAATAAATTGATTCTTTAATGCAGTATCTCTAATCTGAAAACACTCTGAGTCCTTACCTATGTCATGACTAGATGCAAAAAACAGATTAGATAGTTAAGTTCCGTAATGCTTTCATGTAATATACAGAGATTTTCCTATCCTTGTTTTGAAGCATTTATAGGAAAACTACTAGGAGTCATTAAAGGAGGTAACTCAAGGAGTTAGGAATGAATTTTGAGTCCCCTGACTTGCTAATTCTGGTTGTTTGCTTTCGAAGGCAAGGTTTTATTAAAATAATAGCTGTTAACTCACTGCTTTTCTTTGTGCTTCATGTAGGCAATCCGCTGTATGACAGCCTCGGTTCTTTGGGTGTGGGCACCTTGTTAGGCGTGGTCTCCGCGTTCCTGATCTACACTAACACTGAAGCACTCTTAGGACGATCTATCCAACCCGAGCAAGTACAGCGGCTTACTGAACTCCTGGAGAATGACCCGTCAGTAAGGTCAGCCTTACTTGGTGCTGTTGTTAGGGCTTACAAAAACTTGTTTTTCAGAGGAAGTTTGTCCTCTGGGACTTTTTAAATGTATTACTTTTCAGAATCATTATCTTAGACGGAAGCAAGTACATTTAGGAAACTTATTATAAGCTTTCTTTCATTTAATTTTTTTGGGGGGTACCAGGAATTGAACTCAGGACCTTGTGCTTGCCAGGCAGGCACTTATGCTACTGAGCTATATCCTCAGCCCTAAGCTTTCTTTTAAATTCTGTGTATCTTTAACTTTTAGAAGAAGGCATAATGAGATGATACAGTGAGAATAGAAGTATATAAAGTAATTGGCTCCTTAATGTGAAACCACTTGATAGTGAATTTTTACATTTGTGTTTGCCCTATATTTGTATTGCAGTTACAAACTGAATATATTAAAAGTAAAAAGCAGTGTTTTTCATGGGGAAATGATTACCGAAATGAAAGTAATTTATTTATCTGTCTTTTGAAAATAAACTTCTAGTTAGTTTAATTTTTTCCTTATTCTTTTTTTTTTTTTTAATTTTGGCTACTGAACTCAGGACCTCATACATTAGGCAAGTTCTCTGCCACTGAGCTATACCTCCAGCCCTTATCTTTTAAGTTGTGTAAGGTAAGGCTCTGAAAACTTAGGAGCTGAATGGTAGGGCACTTGCCTAGTACGTGTGAGGTCTTGGGTTCAATCCCAGCACTGCAGTCTTAAAAAAACACACTTTAATGATCCACTAAATATTTGATATATATATAATGTATATTGTATATATTTGTTATATATATATATATATAAAATCTTTTTCAACCTTTAAAGTAAAAAGTTATTTGTCTTAATCGTTTTCTGTTGCTACAAAAGAATACCTAAAAGAGCTTTATTTAGTTCACATCTTTGGAGACAAGGAAGTTGACAATCATTGTGGCCACGTCTATGAGGGCCTGATGCTGTGTCAGCTTTAGTGGAGGGAAGAGGGCAAGGTGTATGTGGAAGAGACAGAACAGGAGAGACAACTTTGCTTTTTAACAGGCAGCTCTTGTGGTAACTAATGAGGTCCTATGAAAGCGTGCACTCACTCCTAGGAGATGGCATTAATGTATTCCTGAAGGGTCTACCCCATGACCTAGTCATCTGTCACTAAGACCTAATTCTGTTACATTGAGGAATAAAGCTCAACCCAAAGTTTTGGTAGAGACAGACTATATTCAGACTGTATCAGTATTTTTTTTCTGTGTTATAATTGAAATCTTTCAGTTCAATCTTTTGAAAATAACCTATATATCGGATTAGTCGGATTAGTAAAACATACTAGCGGTTAGATTTATAGTCTATGTTTTGTGTGTATATATATATATATATATATTTCTTTTTGCAGTGCTGGAGATTGAACCCAGGGCCTTTGCACTCAGCTATATCCCCATCCTTTTTAATTTTTGAGAGCGAGTCTTGCTGTCACTGAGCTTGCCCATCCTGCACCACCTTCCTAGAGTGTGGGGATTATAGGCGTGTACCGCCAGGGCTGGTCTTCTATCTTGAAAAGTTTAACCTTTAAAAGCAATCATTTGGTTGGATCAAAATTAGAAGTCAGGCATTGTTAAAATCAGACTTTGTGACTTGATGTGAGGCAATCCATATTGATATCGTTTCTCATAACTGGCCTCACAGAATGAGTTGGAAAGTATTCTCTTCTGGTTTTTTTTTGGAAGAGTTTGTGAAGAATTTTATATATTAATTTCTTTCATTAATAGAATTTAGCGGTGAAGTCATCTGGACATGACTTTTCTGTGTGTGGTTGTTTGATTACTAATTCTGTCACTTGTTATGGACCAGTTCATATTGGCTATTTCTTATTGCATCAGTTTTGGTAGTTTCTTCCTAGGAACTTGCCCAAAATTACTTCTAAATTATCTAGTATTTCTTTGAAATCCTTTTTGTTTATTTAGAGTTGGTAATAGTGTCTCATCTTCTGTTTCTGATTATGTTAATATGAGTCTTTCTTGGGCATTTTAAAACACTAAAGATTGTCAGTTTTAAAAGAACCGGGATTTGGTTTAATTAATTTTCCCTGTTGTTTTTCTTTTCTTTTTTCTCATTAATTTCTGCTTTATTTTTATTATTTTCTTCCTTTTGGTTGCTTTAGCTTTAGTTTGCACTTCTTTTTCCAGTGTTTTAAAACGGTAGATCAAGTTTTATTGTTTCTGCTTTCATTTTTTGAGATGAGTTTCACCATGTTGTCTAGGCTGGTCTCAAAGGGGCTCAAGTGATTGTCCTGCCGCAGCCACCCCAGTAGCTGGGAATATAGGTACTCACAGCCTAAGTTTTTAATTCACTATAGGCATTTAGAAATAAAATTTCCTTTAGGTACTGCTTTCTCTGCATCCCAGAAATTTTGGTATATTGTATCACATTCATTCATCCAAAATATTTCTAATTTCTTTTTAAATTTAATTTTTAAACTATGCATTTTTATTTTTGGCTGTGAATAATAATTATACATATTTAGGAGATATAGTGTGATAGTTCTTCACATCTACACAGTGTGTAATGATTAGACCAGGGTAATTGCCATAGCCATTACCTCAGACATTCATTCTTTGGAATGGGAGTGTTCAGAATCCTTTCTACCAGGCATTTTGAAATATGTAATTGTTGGTAGCCATAGACATATCCAGCTGCAACTGATACCCATTAAACCATCCTCTTTCTATATCTTTCCTCCCTTTTCCCCTTTCCTAGGCTTTAGTAATCAATATTTTACAATGCTCTCTACTTCATGAGATCAAAATTTTTTTAACTTCCACATGACAACATGCAGTATTTGTCTTTCTGTATCTGACTTACTTAGCATAATATCTTCCAGATTCATTCATGTTGCCACAGATGCCAGGCTTTCTTTTTTTTTTCAGGCTTTCATTTTTGATGGCCAATATTCCATATATAGAGACAAACGGTGATTGAAAACTACAGTGAATATTTTAATTTTAAAAATTTATGACAGTGAAACACATTGCCATTAATTCTCCTCAAAATACTCGCTTTCACTTTGAACACACTCATCCCATTCCTTTGTTTTGGTGTGGGGAGGGGTTTGACACAGGGTCTCTCTATGCACTTGGGGTTGGCCTTGAATTCGTGGTAGTCCTCCTGCCTCAGCCTTTGGAGTGCTGGGATAAAAGGCATGAGTCACCACACCTGGCTATCCCATTGTTCTGAAACCCTTCTAGAAGTCTTTTTGTCTTTATGTGTGATCAAAAAACATGAAAAATGCTGCTGCCAAGTGTCATCCAGTGGAAAAGCAGGCTCACATAAATACATTGTGGTATACATCCTCATCACTCATGACACTGTAAGTCCTGGCTATTCCCCAAAGTTAAAATGACCATGAAAGGTAAACATTTTGAATTGATTCAGGGCATCAAGGCATGTGTGAGAGAGCAACCACAGACACTCACAGGAGATTTCCAGAACTGCTTCAGAAAGTGGCAAGAGGCAGGAGGATCACGGGAAGTTCCAGGTTAGCCTGGGCCACATAGTGAGCTCAAGGCCAGCCTGGACTACATAGTGAGACCCTCTCTCCAAATACAAACAAACAAAAACCAAAACCCCAAATAAACCAAAAGAAAGTGGCAAGAACAATAGGATAGGTGTCTTCAAAACAAGGAGGGCTTTCAGGAGGGTTAATGGTCATTATGTGTTTTACTGTGATAAATTTTAAAAATTTAAGCATTTACTGTATTTTTCTATTGTACCCCATATACTGCACTTTCTTTATCCATTCATCCAGTGATAGTAATAGGGGGGAGGTAGAGGAGGGGAAGAGGAAGTATAAAGGGTTAAGACGTGATATTTTCATTTACCAGTTCCCCATGCTGTGTCTTTATAATGTATTACAAATATATTCTAATGAAAAAGGGAGAAAAAAAGACATTGTTAGGTTTTTGATGCAGAAGGAGAAGTAAACAAAAGGGAAAAGGAGGCCTTTACTCCAGGCACAGAGAGGAGAGCACTGCATGCAGCATTGGGCTCCTCCGAGGTAGACAAAGGAGGCTGGGGGTTTATGAGGACCCTGGCTGGGGGGCTGAGCTTGACGGGTGGGCTCAGTGACCCGTTAGGAGCTGATTGGGGCTTCCCTTGCCGGCAGGAAGGGTAAGAAAAAGTTGTATTCTGGGCTGAGGGGAGAAGGCTGAGGAGGGGGCGTCATTTGGAAGATAGACTGTTGTTTTTGGGCTTCAGCCATGTTAGACCACCACCGTAATGATTCAGCAATTCATACTTGGACAGGAACCTATCAGAAGTATCTTCTGTTATATGGAGAGTGCTATAGACGTTTATTAGGTTTATTTGCAGTAGTCAAGACTTTAATTTTCCTGTTGATCTGCTTGCCTTGTTATTCTGCCCACTATTGAAAAAGTAAGGTATTATCATCTTTACCTGTTGCTTACAGTTAAAGTCTAAAAAAGAGTTAAACTGAAAAACTAGCAAATTTAAACTTTTCTGCAAAAACAAAGATTTGTAAATTAACTTGTTAAATAAAATAAGTGCTAGTTATCCAGAAAGTTCATGGCAATTTTTAAAGTAGTATATTACCTACATACTGCTGTGTGACAAATTGGCCCAAAGCTTAGTGTTTTAAACAACACTTACGTGACAGCTCCTGTGAGTCAGGAGTCCAGGTGCTGTTTACGTGGGTTCTCTATGTCAGTCTGTGCTCCTCCTTAGACTGGTATGAAGTTTTTGGCTGAGACAATATGTAGTTGTGTCCTAAGGAAGAACTGCTTTTAGAATTATGCAGTTGTTGGCAGAACTAAATTCTTTACCACCTGGGCCTCTTTGAGATGGCAGCTTGCTTAATCAAAGCATGCCAGATGATAAGGCAATAGGGATTGAATATGAACAACAACAAAAATGTTACTCACTAGTATGCCATGTTGGAAGTGACATCACATCACTTGGGCAACCCATTCGGGACCCCTCCTGTCTCTCAGGAGCTATTCCATAGGAATTCCTATTCCTGTAGAATTCCTGTAGAATTCTATAGGAATTCCTATTCACCATTCCTTTTCCCAATAAAATTTCCTACTCTTTAATAAAAAAAAATGTATTCTTGAGAAACTACTTTGAAGATATCAATACGTAATACAACCATTGTTAATTTCCTACCACTTTGTCTGTATCTCTGTATTGCTTGTATTGTCCTTATGCTATTTGATAAATGGATGTCTGTTTGTTAGTATGTTTTCCTTCTTTTATTTTTAAAATAAATTTTTAAAAAATGTAAAGAACTAGTCTAGCCAACATGCAAGGAGAGAGGACCACACTGGATATAGGATAGGAGATAGGGATCAATTATTGGGAGAATCTCAGAATCTGCTTGTTCCCAGATAGTTTTCTGTATGCAGTTATGTATAAGAATATAAGGAAAAAGTGTATGTGAAGATATTTATTAGCTGCTACTTAAGCACTAGTAAAATAGTGAAATATATTAATATTTTGTGATGATTAAAGTAGACAAATTTTTAAAAAATATTTAAGTCTTGCCAATCTGGACAAGTTTTATTTTTAACTTGAGCATATGTAACTTTATAAGTATTCAGTCGTTTATTTATACTTCACTTTACATAGCGATAGGGATATAGGGGAGAGAAAGTCCCAACCTGAGAGATATCTGGGACGAGTTCATGTTCTCTAAAATCGAAGAATGAATTTTAGGAACAGCGGAGGTTAAAAGCAGAATATATGTATTTATTGAGGGAAAGAAAGCTTCTGTCTGACACAGAGAGGACCCAAGTGAGTTGACAAGAACCCTGCCTTTCCTAGGGATTTTGTAGAGCAAAACCAGACGGTGAGGTGGATCCAAGGTTAGGGGGGAATGGGAAATCACAAGGTGGGTGTGAGGTTGGACAAAACTGTGGTCAGCCAATAAGAATTGTTCAGGTAAAATTGATTAAATCAGGGTCCAATGAGGAAGCCAGTCACGTAGCAAGGGGTTGTGAATACATAACAGGGGCTTTTCCTGTAGGGGGTTGGGTCAGTGACTTCAAGGTAATTGCTACCTATTTAGAATATCAATCCTTGATGTCCATCCCTAGGGAGGTATGTGGAAGTGTTTGTTTAATCTTTTGTTTTGAGGCCTGGCCCACAGTACCACCTCTCCATTTGCAAGGTATCTTGTCTTACATTCTGGCTCCTCCGAGGTTCTGGCCCTGTCTGACTTGCCTATAATATTTCTGTCTAACTCAGCTGCCTGTCACAATAGATACAGCTTCTTTATTTGGACTTGGTAATTTCCTCAAGATCAGTAAAATGTTTCCGTAGTATTTGGAGTCTCACTGAAGTTTATTCTGCCAATCCACTCTGTTCTCAGGATTCAGACTGTTCTCTTACATACTTTATAAAGAAAATATATTATGATGATCACCTTTGATAGAAGAGGATTTTTTAATTATTTTCTGGGGAAGATTTGATTCTTTTTTGTTTGTTTGTTTTGAGACAGGGCCTTGCTGTGTAGTTCAGGCTAGCTTTATACTTGCAGTGGCAAACCAAAACACCTAAACTCCACCCAGGATTTGGAGGCAGATTTATTTGATGTCAATGGGCACTGACAGGGAATCAGTTGTTCCTCAAAATGTCAGGCCCTGAAGGCCCAGGGAGGGAGGTTTTCATGGGGTTGCAAAGGGGAAGTACAAAGGTAAAGTACTTGGCTGTCTTTGATTGGTTCTTACAATATGCATCACAGTGACCAGCCATTTCTAAGAAACTGAAGCAGCAGGAACTGTCACCTGGGCAACTGAAGTATACTGGCTGGGGAGGGCATTTTCTGCTATAGACTCACTGAGTTCCCCAGGCTAGCTTCGAACTCACAGGGAGTTTCCCTCCTCATCCTCCCTAGTGTGGGGATTATAGGTATGTGCTACCACTCCCAGCTAAAAATTTGATTTCCTAGGGTTAGGGTAGAAGGGTTGTGGTTATAGTTTAGCAGCTGCTTTCTTTCCTGGGACCAGAAGAATATAACAGAAAGACTGAGTTTTGTTGTCTGAAGAGCTTCAGTGTGGAGGAATGCTGGTCTACTTTTCACTAATTGAACTATCTTTTTTTTTTTTTTTTTTCCGGTCTTTTTGTCTTTTTGAGACAGGGTCTTGCTATGCAGTTCAGGCTGGCCTTGAGCTCACTTTGTAGCCCAGGTTGGTTTCAAACTTGCAACGATCCTCCTGCCTCAGCCTCCCAAGTGCTGGGATTACAGGTGTGCGCCACCATGCCCGGCTAATTGAACTGTCTTGAGCACATCACTTATGTCTCTCTGAGACTATTTTATCATCTGTAAAGATACCACTTTATATATTTTATGAAAGCTGTTTACTAAATGCCTGCCTTGTAACTGGTACTATATTAAGCATTTTATATGTTATCTTATTAGTTCTCTCATCTGTCCTATGTGGTGTCCCATTCTTAAGAGACTGCTTCATGTAGTTGTTTGAAGACCAGTAGAATGCTTGCTTGGTATGTCAGGGCCCTGGGATTGATCCCCACCACTGCTTAAAAAAAAGTAATCAGTGTACTCTACAACTCTCCTATCAACCCGAAAACTTTTTGTAAATGGTATTTATGAAACTGGTAAGTGAATATATGGGGAGAAAGATTTATGACAGCACTTTAGAAAAACAGTGTAGAGTTTTTTTAATATACCAGCTTTGTAACTCCTGTGTATATAAACTACTATAATATTTGTTAATTTGGACTATTGTATAGCATTATATACAAACATTTAACCTTAGAAAATGATAGGTGATACTTAATGGTGACTATCCAAAGCCGTCTTAGTCTGTATTCATCACTGGTGGAGATAAAACAAATTCTGGGCTTTGAGCCATTGGAGTATGTGTTCATACATTACGTATGTATGTATTATATATAAATTTGTATGCATTGTTACTGATTGCAGGGCAATTCATGATGTTAAAGCCACAGACCTGGGATTAGGAAAAGTAAGATTTAAGGCAGAAGTAGATTTCGATGGGCGAGTTGTTACAAGATCGTATTTGGAGAAACAAGATTTTGACCAAATGCTACAAGTAAGTTTATGTGTTTATCATTTTCTTAGGTAGTTGATGGCTACATAAAAATAAATAAATAAAACTGTTTCTTTTATAGATCTTAAAAGTAACTTCATCTGTTAACCTCTTAGGTTCCAAAATTTGACAGAGAACCTTTTATTTTCTGTAGAGTGGGTTGGAGAAGACAGCAGAAGAGCAGACTTCATAAGCTGTTAGAGCTTGTTATGTGCTAGGCATTTTATTTTATCTGGTTTATTCTCAACAACCCAGTGAATAACATTTTCATTTTAGTATATATGCAAATTAAGACACAGATTATGTAACTTGCCTAATATTTTATTTACACATCTATGAATTTAGATACCTCTGATCCCAGAATCTGTGATGTCAGTTCCAGAGCTGGCCATGGTGGCACACATGTATAAGGATATTCCTCGTTTAAAACTTACCTGTTTTAACTTGTTCGGACTGAGGACCAAGATGCACTGTCTGGACTTAGGACCCTTTTGTATAGTTCTGTACATCTTGTTTATAGAGCCTCAGTGTCTTTTTTTGGTACAGTACATCTTGTTTATACAGTTCTGTAATTTTTTCTGATGGTACTGTGCAGCACAATATTTGTAGTTTTGTGCAAATAAAAGCAAAGTCATCAAGTTGGAGTTTCCTTTGACCATTCTTTGTTTTGAATATTGTAATGTATATACTATATACAGTTCCTCATTTAGCGAAATTCAATCAACACCTTAGTTGTGGGACAGGACCTCTCTTGGTAAGGGTGGAATGTCTGTACTGGCACTGTAGAAGGCTGAGCCAGGAGGATCGTAAATTCATATCCAGCCTGGTAACTTAGTGCCTTGGCAAGGTCTGGTCTCAGAATAAAAAAAAATGACTCAGATGAAACTCATTGTGAAAGCTATGGGTTCAATCTCCAGTACCGCAGAAGAAAACAGAAATTAAAAAAAGAATGTGGACGTTGCCTTCATTTCATTCAGCTTTACTTTCCATGGTATTAGGTTATTAACTTCAGTCCAAAATTAGTAAGTGGAAAGTTCCAGAGATAGTTCCTAAGCTTTAAATTACCATTCTGAATAATCTGATGAAATCTCATGCTGTTTCCCCCAGGACATGAGCTGTCCATCTGTCCTGCATATACTGTACATGTTGTATATGCTAACCTCCCTGTGGCAATTGAGAGTCAGAGACCACACTCACAGAACTTTTGTTACAGTACATAGCTATAATTGTTTTATTATTGTTGTTAATCTCTTACTGTGCCTAACTTATAAATGAAGCTATCGTAGGCATAAGAGAAAACATAGGATATATAGGGTACTTTACTGTTTGCAGTTTTAGGCGCCCACTGGGGTCTTATAACATATCTCCACAAAGAAGAGGAGACTGTTGTAGTTTGAAAGAGAATTTATAGAAGATAACAAAGAACAGCACAGATATGGACACTTGCCTTTGTCAAATCTCAACATTATATTTACAATATCGGTTGAGTATCCCTTATGAAATGCCAGAAATGTTTCATGCTTCCTACTGCACATGTTTTTCTTTTTTCTTTTTTTTTTTTTTTTTCTGCAATTTCTGGCTTCTTTATTAAAATCTGGAAAAAAACCTTTTACACAGGAAGTTATATTTCTTTGAATTAAACAGTAGACTGATAGAAAGAGAGAGAGACACAAGGAAGGGGGAAAATGCTTTGGAATAATTGGAAATCTAGGTTGAATTTTTTTTTTTTTTTTACACATGTTTTTCAGGGTAGGGTATAGATAGCTAGATTTCAATTAGGTAAAGACCATCGAGAATGCATTCTTATCTGTAGCTTCTGTAGATGCTATGATTTTTTTGTTTTGTTTTTTTTCCGGTACCAGGAATCGAACTCATGACCTTGCGCTTGCCAGGCAGGCGCTGTGCCGCTGAGCTAAATCCCCAGCCCCCCGTAGATACTATGAAATTGTTCTCCAAAGTGTTAATTCAGCTTCTGCCCTCAGTGTATCGAAGTTTTTGTTGCTTCACATTCTTACTAGATTATACTGATAATTTTTAAATGTTTCCCAATATTATAGGTATGAAGTAATATCTTATAATTTATATTACTTGGAGTAGTGAGGTTAATTAAAAAAGTCTTACTTAACCCTTTATCACAAAAATATTTTTTCTTCTAAAAGTTTTTTTTTTAACCTGCAAGTCTTTAATCTAATTGGGATTATTTATTCAATGGACTGAGGTAGAGACTTAGTATTTTTCCTTTACAGGAAAATAATTGTTCCGATACTACTTAATGAATATTCTGCCACTGATTTTGTAGTTCTACCTCTGTGTAGCATTACTGACTTTTCTGGAATTAAATTTTTTTTGGAAGTACATGGTCCATTGCCTATGGCCTAAATTTTTTTAATTTTTCATTAAACTTTACGGTGTTCATTATAAATTTTAAAAGGAATTATCAGTGTACCACTATGATTTTTGAAAAATTTAGTTTTCCTGCTTCTCTTCTTTATAGGAAATTCAAGAAGTGAAAACTCCTGAAGAACTAGAGACATTTATGCTTAAACATGGAGAAAATATTATCGACACTTTAGGAGCTGAAGTTGATAGGCTTGAAAAGGAACTGAAGGTAAGATATCTTCATAAAAATAATGCAGTGATAGTGACAACTGTTTTTCAAGTACTTACTGTGCATCAGACACCGTGCTGACTATATTATATGCATACTCTTAATACTCGGTAACTCTATGACAAGTAAATGCGTACAGGGCAGAATCCAGTAAAGTTCCAAATGTAGAACTTCACTGATAGCCTCCTCACGGAGTTATGGGTAGCACTGAAGTATGTCAGTTGTTTTGAGTATTGTTAACCAGAGAAGCTCATCTGAGATTTGATGTCCCAAGACTTCACTGAGGCTATGTGGTTGACTACAAGAGGCTGACGTTTTGTCTCCAGCCCCTCCTGATGGAGGACAGATACTGTGTGACCTAAAGTCCCCATCATAAGTCTAATTGTTAGACTGTGTGGTGGTCAGCACTCCCAGATAAACAAAGGCATTCTTAGGACATTTTCAAGGCCTATAAACTACTCTCCAGTAACTGAGGGCAAAGCTTAGACCTTTTTTGGAGTAAGCTTAATTCTCTTGTTATATTGTTACATGGAAATCCATTAGTCCGCTTTTGTACCCTGAATGGGTTTTTTACCTGTGCATGATTCTGTAACATTATACATTGATGCTTTGGAAAATACTGATTCACTGAGTTATGCATATCTTTCAAGTAGTGTTCTGATAAGAAAGCAATTTATTCAGCTCACTACACAAGGAATCAGAGGGTACTTTCCTTGTGCCATCGTATGTCAGTATGAAGCAGAGGTGTTTTATACCTAGGTTCCGCTTGTCACGGTGTCTTACAAAATGTACTCAGGAGTTGAGGTTTAACAAAATTGGTACATCTTACTACTTCACAAAGGATGTTTTAAAGTAAAACTGGTTTTTAACAGTTGAGTATGTGTCAGTAAAGGAACACAGTGACCACTAGTACAGTTTGGTTCCATTTGCTTAATTGTACAAAGGTGCCAGCAGAGCTTTTAGGCCATCCTAGGAAATGTCATACTGACAAAAGCAAATAACATTTTAGTTATTCACTGTGAAACTAGCTGTGATTTCAGTCCCCTTTCAAAAGTTTCAGGATGCCCACAGTCCTTGGTCTTGAGAACCACTGTTTTATGTAGAATGTGAGATGGTTATTTTTGAGTAGGGTAACACAAGAAAGAATTAACTTTATTCTTCTATTTGATTTTAATTCTGTGGCAAGGAAAATAAACTTAATCTGTATACTTTGGTAGAAACAGGAAGTCAGAAGTCATATTTAAGAATAATTAATCATTCTCAACTGTATTTCCTCTTATCACAGAGAAGTTAGTTGTTTTTCATTTAATTAACTTTGTAGTTTAGTTAAATACTATTAAATCATTCATAGTGTTTTTGAATTACAAAAGTTTTTCAAATTATGAAGCTACGTTTAACCCACATAAGCAGGTGGAAACATCTTTAGCTGAGGTAATAAAGCATGATTGATTTTAAATGAAAGGAAAGTTGCTCATAGTTGAAGTACCAAACCAAAAGGGAATACATGAACATAATTCTTCCTCATGCAAATACGCTGATTTTCTTTTTAACACTAAATTTTGTACACCAGCTACTCCCTCATTTAATGTCTCATGCTTGCTTTCTAAATAATGTTATTGAAAAATGTAGTACTTAGCGTTGAATGAGTTTCTGTTGGTGAGGAGGGGACAGCTAAGTTCCATGTGTGACTTTCGTGTATAAACCTAATTCTATACCAGTATAGCTATTGGACATTTCCGTTCAGTGATGCTGTTGCAATTACAGTAGGTGATATTTTTGGCTTAAGATTCTACAATTTGCATAGTTTTTTTTCTTTTTTTGGTACCGGGAATCAAACTCAGGTCCTTGCGCTTGCCAGGCAGGCGCTTATGCCACTGAGCTGTATCCCCGGCTCCAATTTGCATAGTTCTGTGTAAAGATACCAAATAATAATAGCCTAATTCATAAATTATGATACTATAAAATGGGAGTTACAAAATTATAAAATACCTTATTATTTTAAAGATACCTGACCTGTTACCTTTTTTATCCTATTTCTTCTCCTATTCCCTTCCTATTCCCCTCTCCTGTTTCCCCCTGTGAAGCTTTTTGTGTTTGAGATGAAATAATTGTACTGGATATTAATTCAGTGGGAGGTTGCTGTAACACTAGCAAATTTCTTATAATGTTCTGTCCTTTATTTTATCTTTGCTTCTCTAGTGCAACCTCTGCATATCATTTTCTTGAGTCTTCAGCATTGCAAAATAAATCATATAATTTGGTTTTTGTCTCTGCATGAGTGTTGGAATAAAATCTCTGTGGTGGGCATAATCAGTTTGCATTAAGTAGTGCATGGGACATAGTAAATGTAAAAGTATGTGTTGAATAAATAAATAAAAATTGCAAGTTAGTACAAAGTTATTGATTTTTCATATTTGCATAACAAATACCAGGTTCTGATATGTCCATAATATCTTTTTTGGGTTTTCTTTTTGGTGCTGGGAATTGACATAGTACCTTGTTAAAATAGTAAACATTGCATTTTAAGAAATTAAAATCGTGTTTCTTTTATTTATTCTGCAAATGTGTGTGTACTGTGCATATATATTCTATAAACTTCGAGTTGTTTCTTGGAAAGGTTGATTTTAAAAATATGGTAAATTAACTTTTTAGGTTTATTAATACATATTTACTATGCAGTATTTTTTTCACTAAAACAATACCAAATTTCTTGTAAACAACTAAATATTTCAAGTCATACTTGGATAGGCAAGGGTTTTATTTGTTTGGAATTTTTTTTTTTCCCATATTGAATGTAAGGAGTTCTAGAAACAAGGAATAGTTTCAGATAAACTTGAGAACAATAGTGTGACTGGAGGTCCTTGCCCTGTGACCCTAAAGAAAAGGACCCCTAGCCACACTCCAACAGTGCTACCTGTAAGAAAAGTCTGTGTTCACTCAAAGAATGCTGTAGTCAAGCAAAACTCCAGTATTATGCCAGATTCTTGTTTGTAGAACTCAATCTCTGTAAAAGAAGCAGTATGCACATGGTCCTGGGATATTATTTTTAAGCTAGACGGTATTAATCCTGATTAATTTTAGGATTAATTACAACAACTTTTCTCCTTTATTTAGTTTTTTAATTTTTTAGCAACTCATACACAAAGTATATAACAAAACAACTGTAATGCTTATAACAAGTATCACTGATTTCATTCTCTTTATTCTCTAATTCTGCCTCTCTTAGATAACTGTTTTTAATACTTTTTGCATTTCTTTATTTCATGCCGTATTCCTATGTCAGTTTTATATTGGTTCTCCTGATTTAACATTATTTATTTCCTCTGTAGTAAGTGTAACTTTATGTACTTTTCGGCACTGCTTTCTGTCTCCATTCTGAGTTTTTTACAGTATTTTTAATTCTCCCCAAATTGAGTTGTGTTCTCCTTTTGTATATCCACAGGAAGGAAAAACCCAAAACCTTTACCTTACCCTGTCCGTAGCAGCACAGCATTGTAATTGCTTGCTTACTTACCTGTCTCTCCTCCTTCACTTACTGTAAGTCTGTTGAAGGCAGATACTGTTTGTTGCTGCTGAGTTGAAGTTCCTTAACCTAGCATATAGCTTTTTTAACAACCTGGTTTAGGTCTGTCTTTCTAGCCTCATTATTAGGCCTGCCCTTTCTGTGCCTTCTGTGCTGACTGTACATATCACAGGGCCCACGCCTGCTTCTGGGGCTCTCTGCTTTGCACTGCTGTTTTTTCTGTCTAAGCATTCTTCTTCATCTATCTAGAAGACTCAAGTTCAAATCTAGCTTAGATGTATCATCATTAATAAAAGGAATAAAAAGAAAGAAGATTTTCTTTGCTGTGAATAATGTGGTGGTTTTCTTTTCCAGAAACGAAATCCTGAAGTTCGACATGTAGATTTGGAGATACTCTAATCTTGATGGAGTGAATCATCTTGGTGGGGCCTTGGAAACGAGTTTGTTGAGTCTCTACAAAGCACGCGTCCTCCTTTGCAACCTGAAGGAGCCAGTGCCATTGAGAAGCTATTTCTTCTAAGATGGAGTTAATATTTTATGTGAAGAGCAATTGAACAGGCCACAGAACTAAAACTCCTTCCTTCTAATCATGTTTTTTGCTTTAATAGGGAACATTTTGGTTACTTAAATTGTTTATAATTTCTCATTTTAGCCTAGCATTGTGCATTGTACATTGCAATCATGTTTCTTTTTTTGCATTGGTAAGTAGTATCCGTGGGATTATAACTTTCAATTTTGTTTCTACTAAAGACTTTACTCCATCAATATCTGTCAGGCTTGAATATTCTGGCTGAATGTTGGTGTCTGGTCACTCTGTTTCAGAGTTTGTCTTTCTTGATATAATTTGGAAGTTTTCTGCATACTTCATGACTTTAACCTGAGCATTGAGAGTGGTACTCTCTTAACTTGGTCATCCACAAATGTTCATTCCAGAAATAACTTAGTTAGTGAATTGAATGAAGACCTTTCAGTACCCTCCTTTAAATCATAGTTATTATTTTCTAAAATTTATTTCGCTTTCACTTTTTTCCTTTTTTTAAATTTTTCTGATGTTAAGACATAAATAGCCCTGAGCATTTCTATGAGCCAGTGCGATGATTCTTTCTTTCTTTCTCCTCCCTCCTTCTTTGCTTTGTTTTGCTTTGCTTTGTCGCTCCTTCCCTCTCATCCTCCTTTCTCCCCTCCCTCCTTCCCTCTCTCCCTCCCTTCCTTCCTTTCCTCCCTCCCTCCTTCTGGAAACTGGCTGTAGTGCCATAATGTCTGTTTACTGGGAGTTAATGCATTTATAAGCATTTTAACATTCTGTAAAATGGACTAGAAATATTTATAATTTTACAGATAGGATAGCATTTTATTTTTAATTTATTTAAAAGGCACTACTTAAGTAAATATGATCTGTGGGGTTTTTTGCTTCGAGAGAGAGAAGTAACTCTTACACTGAAACTTGTGTCATGACTTTGTATAATACAGTCAGTAGTGTGTCTGTGACTTTCTTGCAGTTACAAATGGGCATTTAGCATATTGCTATAACATATGTAAGCGAAGAGCTTTCTGATGACTGTGGGCTAGCAAGGTGAAAAAACATGTGCTTCCGTAATTGAAAATGTAGTGAAAAGCAACAGCTTTCTCCAGAACACACTCTGCACTTTATAATGTCCAGGTAGCAGTGAGCACTGTTCATGGGAGAGTGTGGATGCTGCTCTCTTTGTTGGGTGAGTGCTTGACACAGGGGCCTAACTCCTTACGTGAAGTTAGCGTCTTAAAACTTACTGAGGTGGAAGTAAGTTTCATAACAGATTGCCGTGAATTATAACAGATTGTCCCATTGGAAACAAAAAATAAATCTTTGATTGAAGGGTTTGTTCTGGTAATTTTTGATCCAGAAGTGTCACTTGCTAGAAAATTATGAGAACATATATTGTTGTACTTTTTTAACTATTAGCATTTTGAATGAAGTAACATTCCAGTTTTACTTTTAAAACATAAAACTGTTGGAGCCAGGCATGGTGGTGCATGCCTGTAATTGCAGCACTCAGAAGGCTGAGGTGGAGGATTGTTGCGAGTTCGAGGCCAGCCTGGGCTACAAAGTGAGCTCCAGTCCAGCCTGAACTGCATAGTGAGACCCTGTCTCAAAAACAAAAAACAAACAAAAAAAACCTGTTGGGCTGGGGATGTGGCTCAGTGGTGGAGCACTTAGCAAGTATAATGTATATCTTCACATTCCTCGTTGGCACCCTTCATAACCCTTTGTTGTTTAGGTGTAACTCACGCTATACTTTCTTCCTCCTCGCTCCCCGCCCCACCTGCCCTTGTTATTCCATGCTGTGGCCACAGTCAGCATTCCAAGTTCCACCCAGCTTCCTCTTAGTAAAATAAAGCTACTCTGAAAAGTTTCATGTGGTGAGTCAAGAATAACTACTTGTTTTTAAAAAGATGCTCAAAGATGATGTTTAAAACTTATGTCAAGGGGCTGGGGATTTAGCTCAGCGGCACAGCGCCTGCCTGGCAAGTGCAAGTTCGTGAGTTCGATTCTTGGTACTGGAGGAAAACAACAACAAAGAAAACTTATGCCAAATGCTGTATGTTTTAGGAGTCCCTAAAAAAAGCCAATCTCTAATATTTCTTTGGATTTTTTTTTATCTGATTTTGTTTAGGTTCATACCATTCTTAGTAACAGAAAACTTAAGTTGCTGTCTTTTCATTCTAATTCTCTTCTGTAGTGATATTTTAAAGATTGTTTATATAAAGATGACATAAAAGAGGGCAACATATCCAGAAATTTGAACATTTTTGTGGATTTGGTTTTTTCCCCTTATAACTAGAGTCAAATTTGAACATTAAAACTAGGAAATTTGGGCCTCTTTAAAACTAGACAATATCTAGTTTTCCATTTCTTGTTTTTGTTCTTTCTAAATTAATGTTTCTTGAGGCCAGGTGTGGTGGCGCACGCCTGTAATCCCAGCACTCGGGAGGCTGAGGCAAGAGGATCCTTGCGAGTTCGAGACCAGCCTGGGCAACAGAGTGAGCTCAAGGCCAGCCTGAGCGGCATAGCGAGACCCTGTCTTAAAAAGACAAAAATAAATAAATATTTTTTACTTTAGATTTTGCTTTGTGGCATACATACATAGTATTTGAGTGTTTAAGCATATAATTTGAATATTGTTAGGAAAAGTAGTCTTTGTTGGAAAATAATCATAGAGTAAACACTAGTTTTGGACAAAAAGGTGGACCAGGCAAGGGTCTGTGACCTCTGCTTTCTCCAAACTGGAATCAGGAATTTGGTTGAGAGTGGATCTCTAGTGAACTGTGAGTACGATGTGGCCTTTCTGTACTATGGGAGGATGAGAAGTGGAGACCTCTTTTTAAATGGAACGTCTTGGTGGCCAATAGCATCCAGTTCATACGAGGTGACTTCTGATGAGGAAACTGAGTTACGATCAGACTGAAAAATTTTCAGAATTTTCTAAATCCTTGTACCCATCCCCCCAGCACATACACGTACTCAGCCCAGACTGCCCAGAGTAATAATATAAGACTTGAATTTCTGGTACAGTTTTGAGTGGTACCTTAATTATCTCAATTTGAGTAATGCTTTTGCTAAAATTATACCATCTAAAGAAAGGCTTAAATTTTAAGTCTGATAACTTTTTGAGGTAGAATTCTGGGAACTACAGAAAATTACCCAGGCATTTGGAATTTATAGTACCTTCTTAGATTGCATTTGTCAAGATTTGGCAGTACTTCTTTTAAATGTAATGACTCCCACTTCGCCAAACTGTCAGAAGTCAGTGAAGCGAAGAATTGAAGGTAAAATGTTGATTCAAAAGATTGTCTCCGCTAAATCCCTTATCCTCGCGTCTAAAATGGAATTTTGGAAGGTATTTATATAGAAGATGGGGCTGGCAGCCTTTACATTTGTGGTTTTTACTTGTATCCCTAGACTTGTTCTCAGGGAGAAAGAAAATTTTTATTTCTATTCGGTTCTATTTCATCTGCTTGACGTCACTGGCAGGTCACAGTGAGCCTGGTTCCTCAGGATGCTCTTCCTTAGTGAATATGTAAGCAAGAGCAACTCAGTTTGGGGCTTTGGCCCCATGAATGTCGAATGAATGGGTTCATGATCACATAATACGCTTTCTTTATCTCGTCTGCTAACAAAACTCTTACATAATACATTTTACTTTAAAACATATGCCTATGTTTTTTGAACAGAATTTCTTCCTGCTTGTTAGTTTGTATGGTTTTCTCCCTGTTTTGCAAAACCAAACTATAATTATTAATGTACTACTAGGACATTATGTGTTTGGTAAACACAAATACACAAAGGTATATCTCTTACTGATACATATTTTTGTACAATTTCACAAAATTAGAATATGTAAATATTTTAGTTACACCTGTGTGTGTGTGCATATGAATGTGTGCATGTGTATGTGGTATGCTGGGGATTGAACCCCAGTCCTCATCTATGCTAAGCACATGCTCTGCCACTGAACCCACAAAGCTATCCTTAATTGAACTCATGACATCGCACTTGCCAGGCAGGTGCTGTGGCACTGAGCTAAATCCCCAGCCCCACTATCATTTTTTTTTTTTTTTTGAGAGAAGGTCTCGCTATGCAGTTCAGGCTGACTTTGAGCTCACTTTGTAGCCCAGGTTGGTCTCGAACTCGCGTGGATCCTCCTGCCTCAGCCTCCCAAGTGCTGGAATTACAGGTGTGCACCACCACACCCGGTGACACAAAGCTATTCTTGGTAGGTGTCTTTATAGTATATTTAGATAAAAACATCAAAGGCTACAATCTAGAGGCAGCCTCTAGTCAATTCAAGTTCAATTCTATACTGATTCTTTAGGAACTCCAGCTTTGTTTTAATGAGAAACTAAACCAAATGATTATTCAAAATAATTTGGTATTTTGGGAGAGTATAGCTCCCTCTCCAGATTCAAAACCTATAGAAATAGAAGCACCATAGTTTGCAGTTTACACAGCCAAATACAAAATCATTTGTGTGCTACAAGGGCTTATTGAAGTTTTAAAATAGAAGCATCCTGTTTGTATCATCATAGGTACCAACAGGATAATTTGAGCTCTTTGTATAGGTACTGTTTTATGTGTATTAACACATTTCGTTTGCACAAACAGCCAAGGAATTAGGTACTGCTCTTTACATTTTTGTCTGATGAAACTGAGATACAGTAGTTTGTGTCTGCAGTCATGCGGGTAGGGGCAGATACAGTGTGGCTGTCACTCAACAAGGCATTTGAACCAAAATTTAACTGTTCATGGGATAGGGTGAGGTAGGGAGTGGAACACTGAGGTTGAATGGAAGTCGAGGCCTTGCCTGTCACTTTTGAGATTTATTTACTTTATTAGTACTGAGGACTGAAACTAGGGCCTTTGTACTGAGCTACATCACTGGCCCTTTTTTGTTTTGAGACAGGGTCTTGCTAAATTGCTGAGTTGTTTTGACTGGGCTTGTACTTGTGGTCCTCCCACCTTAGTTTCGTAGATTACTGGGATTATAGATATGTACCATGTTGGGCCGGGGATATAGTGGCACAAGTGCCTACCTGGCAAGCGTAAGGTCCTGAGTTCGATCCCTGGTACCAAAAATAAAAAATAAAAAATAGATGTGCACCACCACGCCTGGCTTACAAGCCATCTTGAAGTAACAGGAGCTGTTCTTTTCAGCCTAGACTCCTGAAAGACACATGAAGTAGACAGCTAATCCATGTACAATGCAGTTTGAACATCAGTACGATTTGGCAGATGATTTATATGTCAGACTCAGCATATCCAAAACAAAACTCCCAATTTCCACGCCTCCTCTCCCAAGACACTTTCTCCTGCAGTGTTTTCTTTCTTATTAAATGGCATTTTCATCCTTTTATTTGCCCAAGATTGGTGGCTCCTGTTTCTCACACGATAGACATCTAACACCTTTGCAAAATTCACTAGCTCCACCTCCAAAGTACATTCAGGTTCCATTTCTCATTTCTGTCTTCTTAGTATCAGTCATAATTTTTTGCCTGAATTATTAAGATACCCCCTTAGCTGCTTTCCACCATAGTCATAGCCACACTTTGTTCTAAGCACAGCAGATCGTGGTCTTTTGAAAACGTGTCCAGTCATGGCCTTCCTCACACACTTCCGGTAGCTGCTGATCTCGGACATAGCAAGGTGCCAGCAAGGCTTGCAAGGCCTCCACGCGTCCTCACGGTCTGGCCGTTTCTGCTCCCTCTGCACTCTGGCCAGCCTGGCCTCCTTACTGTTTTTCAGGCGTCCTAAGCAGGCTCTGACTGGCTCCTTTGTACTTCCTGAAACACCCGTCCCTTAGGCGGCTCCACAGCGTGCTGCTTCAAATACCTGTTCCAGTGCCCTCTCACGAGCGAGGCCCTTCCTCTCCACCCGTAAGAAACGGTAACCTTTATCCCCAGCCCCATAATCCTGTCCCTGCTTCACTTGTGACCATAGTGTTTAGGACCTGGTGATTGTAATTTCACTTTTCTGTCTCCCCTGAAATGCATGTTCCCTTAAAGCTGGCTCTCCAGGAACAAGACATAGCAGGCATTTAGCAAAAAAACCCTGAATGAGTGAGTGTTTCATGTATGAAGTTGTAAAAATACAGACAGACTCAGCCTACTGGAACAGCACAGGCTAGTTAGTTGACAAGGAGCCCTAAGCATGATTATAATGTAGTATGGCAGTATGTCTGTGTATTAATCATGGAGTAATAATTTTCATGTCGTAAAGCCAGGTTTGTGAGAGAAGCACTCTGATACGCTTCTAATGGGAGTGAAATGGGGCCATCTACCGAAGAGTATTTTTGCAGTAGGTTTTAACAGTGCAGGACATGTAG